CCTCTGACAGGCAGTTTGGCATAGTAGCTGCGTCTCTGCACTTTGAACACTTGACTTGGAATTCCATCTCAGCTGGTCAGTGTCTGGAATTCACTTCCTTTTCATTCCAGTCTCTCAGAATCCTGACTGGGATAAAAAAGGTGGGCAGCAAAAATATCTACATCCAGTGCTAAGGCCTTTATCAGGTCTTAGCTTCCAGGAGAGAAGCCTTTCCCACTTCCCTGCGTTCTCAGGGCTTTTTCCCTGCTAAAGCGATTCCTGTACATGTTGTCCTTCATCACTAAGGACTAGAAGCTCCTTGAGGCTTCAGAGAATAGTTTGCATTCTTGTCTTTGTAGCTGCAAAGCCTAGAACAGTGCCCGGCACTTACATACTAGGTAAATGTTTAATTCAATTGAAAGTGGGATAAGCAGTGAATTCCACTAAAGCGAAAGCTTCAGTTAGAAGGGAGGATGTGGCCGGAGCAGTGAATTGGGGGTTGGGAAGAGGGAAAAGACAATGAGCTTTGTTTTGGTTGTGCTGAATTTGAGATGCCGATGGGACAGCTCGGTGGAGACATTTAAAGGATATTTGGACTTCGGTTAATGGTTAGTGGCTTAGTTGAGGATTGATAGGGACTTGTGGGGGACAGAAGAGATTCTATGATTCTCTGGTCCGCTTTCTTTACCATTTAACAGCACATGCTTCCTAAATGAATCCTTTTGTGGTAAGCCAGTAGCTTTCTTAGAGAAATGAAAGACACAAGGCGTATATAGGAAGTAAAAATTTTTCAAGAATATTTGGAGTCACAAATGACAAGGCTAACACTTACCCTTTCTTTGTTGAGGATCGTTGAGGCTGAGACCATGACTTGGATTGTAGGTGGTACCACGGACAGTGCACTGGTCCTGGAGCCAGGAAGAGGAGTTCAAAGGCAGCTTCAGACACTTCCCAGCTAGCTGTGTGTCCTGGGCAAATGACAACTCCTCCCCCTGCCTCAGCTGTAAAATGGGGACAGTACCAGCACCTCTCAGGGCTGTTGTAGGATCAAATAAGAACATTGATAAAGAGATGCCGATTCCCTTCCCCCTTCTCCTTTTCTGGCCTTTGGGGTTCCAAAGTCTTCTGTCAGCTGGTGACTCAGACCTTGAGAAGCACACAAGGCGGACCCAGACTGACAGACAGAAAGACAGCGGCAGACTAGGTTCCCAGCCTTTCCCTTATATATAGGCATCCTTCAGATCCTTCAGGTACAGTACACTGGGGCTGTCTGGAAAATGAAGGGGCTAGTTTGCTTAGAGGAAAGGGGGCATTCCAGGGGGTCATGTGTTGAATGACTTCTAGTTTAGGGAATGTAAATGGAACGTCAGGAAGCCACGATTCCTCAGGAAGCATGAATTTACCGACTAATGTTATATTAGCAGTCAGTCAGCAAGCACCTATAAAGTCCCCATGCCAGCTACTTGGCTAAGTGCTAGTAGTACAAGAAGGGCAAGAATGTATCCCTTGCCTTCAAGAAGCTCCTGTTTAAATGAGGTAGACGATGTACAGATGTTTGTATGCATGTTTGACGTATACAACAGTAAGGTGGCCATGCACTGGACCAAACTTAAAACGACCCAGGGAAATCTGTCACAAATCATGGATGTCAAGGGCAGTCATGGAGACTCCACACTGAGGAGTGAATGTATGTGCTGGAGCATTGGTGTCTAGGGGCAGGCAGCCTGTGTCAGGGCTGTTGGGCTATCAGGCTTTGCACGCTAACCACAGGGGGCTGTTATTCAGGGACAGGCCTCCATCCTTGGGAGGATTACTGAGGAACTGCTGTAGGAGGCAGGGTCCCCGAACTGGGACTTAGGCAAGGGAGATAAGATAGGTCCTGACTTGTCGGGGCCTGGACACAAGGTAGGGGGCTTGGCCATTTACCTATAACTGGAGAGAGAGAGTCAAAGAAGATTTAGCAGCAGTTTAATTCTGCAAGAATTTATTGCCATCCAAATGCCCAGTTCTTGTACTAGGTCCTGGTGATACAGAGAGAGAGAGAGTGTAGCTCCCTCTTGGGCAGCCAAGATGGAGAGACGTAAGTTTTAATTCTTTATCTTGTTCTAGCTGGTTCCTGAGGCTGGAACAGAGCTGTGTCACCAAGTGGGAGAGAACAATGAAGAGGACAGAGCTAAGCTTGTAATTCGGCCTGAAAGGAGGCAGGTCATGTTTAAGTTCAGAGCCTTGTGGTGCATGACTTCTAGCAGATTGCTTACTTTGGGAGGATCCAATCACTACAATTCAGGAAAATTCATAGAGCTCTTTTGGGATGGGTGCAGCATACATTTTAGGCATCAATCCACCCCCATCTTCTTTTCCAGTTATACTCAGCAGAGTATGAGGCCATGCTCTTCTAAGTCTAGAGGGAGGAAGTTGTTTCTTTTTGGAGGGGAGGTAATTATCCACAAAGGCTTTGGGGGCTGGAGGCCAAAGAACTCCAAGTCCCTTTGCAGGAGTCTTAATGACATTCTCCTAGTCTTTGTCTTCACAAATGTATCTTCCAGGGTCTTCCTGGGGACATCTATTTTGAGCCCTTAGAGATCAGACCTACTCCTTTTATAAGAAGTTAAATGACTTGTCCAAGCTGTCACAGGCCATCAGATTCTAGATTGGGAGCTGAGACTTGCACCCAGGTCCACTGTACCAGTATTGTCTTCTATGTCTTCTTTTTACAAATGAGAAACCTGAGGGCCCAAGAGAAATGGCCTTGCTTTGGGTTGTAGTGAGTCAGGAGCAGAGATGGAACTAAATTTCAGGTCGTGGGTGGTGGGGGTCTAACTCAGCTGCCATCTCGCTTAGAAAGAAAGAAAGAAAGAAAGAAGGAAAGAAAAAGAAAGAAAGAAAGGGGTTCTCAGGATGTTCCTTGGCTGGCCCATTTCTGAGCTTTGGCGTAATAGAGGCATTCATAGTTTTGTTTGACCTTCCCTATTCCAAGAGCCCTTGGAGGGTAGACATTCTGTGCTCTACTGTCCCTTCTGGTGGCAGTATCCTGTGTCTCATGTTCTAGTATCCTTTCAGTTCTGACTTTCTCTGTATTATGTGCTAAGGTCCCTTCCTTCACTGACATTCTATGATCCGTGTTTAAGGGCCTTTCAGCTTGAACATTCTGTGCTCTAAGATCCCTTTTAGCACTGACATTCTGTGTTGTAAGGTTCCTTCCAGCTCTGACAATTTGGTAATGTCCTAAGGTCTTGAAAAAAGTTACTTTTCTTCTGTTCTCTGCTTTCCCTCCCGTCATCCTTATCTCTGAAAAGTTGGAAGTTTTTTGTTGCTTAGAAAAGTCTTTTTGAACATTTTTCATTATACTTTTATTTGCATTGACTTGATTTATTCCTTCTCTATTTTCCTTCCCATCAATTATTACCTCTTCTCTACTCTTTCTTCTCTCAGAGTGGTTTGACTTAGTTCATTCTCATCCTCTGAAAAGAGAAAGTTCTTGGGGTATTTACTCTCCTCTCCCTCCAGAAGCCCCCACACTTCAGATGTTCTGCTGTTTGCCAGATGGCGCCTTGGTGACTGACTTGCCGAAAGCACGGATGAAAATGCTTGTGAAGCAGTGCTGAGCCCGCATTCATCGTCCCCTTTCTTTCATAGGGGAAAAGGAGCAGTGTTATTGCCTTCTCCTTGTAGACAGGGAGAGGGGGCATGGTTGGGGAAAGCTTCCCCAAGTGCTGGGCTTCTTGCCTTCTGTGAGCCCCAGGAAACCTTGCTGGAAATGGATAATTGTGAGGGGAGAAGATCCTCTTTACCCCTTGCCTCCTGCCAACTGTAGGTGTCCCACAGGGCTCTGCCCTGACCTTCTTCTCTTCTCTCTCTGTACTGTTTCACCTGGGGATCTCATCTACTCTCATGGATTCAGATGTCATCTCTATGTCGATGATCCTCAGATCTGCTTATGTGTCCGTAACCTCTCTGCTTGTGTCCAGTCTTACATCTCCCCCTGCCTCTCGGATATCCCAAATTGGATGTCTCTTAGACATCTTAAACTCAGTATATCCAGAATTGAACTCATCATGTTGCCCCCCCAAAACCCTCCCATCTTCCTCTCTCCCCTGTTAGTGTTGAAGGCTCTGCCATCCTCCCGTCCCTCAGGCTCCCAACCAAGGAGTTGTCCTGGACGCCTCCCTCTCTTGTATCCCTCCCAGATCCAAGCTGTTGCCCTGGCTTGTTGATTTTCCTTTGTAACATCTCTCACACATTCCCCCTTTTCTCCTCCAACAGTGCCACCTTGGTGGACTCTCCCACTGGCCTTGCTGGTGGGTCTACCTGCCTTAATGTGGGTCTGACTGGGTCGCCCCTTTCTCCTCCTGTCTCTCAGTAAAACTAGGGGCTCCCTATTAGCTCCAGGGTCAGATATTAAGTCCTGTGTTGGGTGTCCAGGGCCTTTCCTAACCCACCCCGACCCCCACCTTTCCAGTCTTCTTTCTCCCTTTTACAATCCAGTGACCCTGGCCTACCTCCCCTTCCCTGACTTCGAGGTTTTTCACCGGCTGTCCATCCCTCAGGCCCGGGATGTTTCTCCTTCTCATCTCTGCCTCCTGGCTTCCTCCGCCTTCACCAGAAGCCTTTCCCAATCCGCGTTCGTGTGCGTGACTTCTAATTTACCCTGTCTGTGTCTTCTGTGTACCCCATAGTTTGCCCGTTGTCTCCTCCATCAGACGGGGAGTTCTTTAAGAGCGGGGACGGTCTTTTGCCCTTCTTTGTGCCCCCAGTGTGTAGCACAGTGTTCGGCACGTAGTAGGAGCTTAATCAATGCTTATTGACTGACTGGCCGACCTCCCCTCCCTCTCTTCAGTCCTGGTCGCCAGGCCACAAGCAGCCTGGCGTCTGTGCCGTGGGTGTCCGAGGCTGATGTTGTCACGTCGCCCTGTGATGGGGGTCTGCTTCCTGGCCTCCTGAAGCCCAGCCCTGTTTGTGCCCTTCCACATACACTGTGTCTGATGCCTCCCCATTCTCCTGTTTTTTTCCCTCTCCTTTAGGTATACAGTTTGAAATAAAGCATGTGGAGTTAAAGGGACCTGCAGATTTGTTTTGCTGTTGGGTGGTGAAGGACTTCTTCCAAAACCATCGCCCTATGGGAAGGGCCCAGTACCTGTTTTCCAGCTTCTGCTCCTCATCTCAGTCCTTACTGGAAGAGTCTAGGATCAGCACAGAAGTAGGTATCTGAGGTCCTCTTGGGCCAGTCATTGACCTCCCAGAGCCTGGGCCAAGTGACCTGCTTAGGGCCTCTCCTACAGACGTCTCACTCAGTGCTCGCCTTCTCTTGGCCTGCCACCTTGAGGACATTTTGGCTGGAGAATGTTCCTTTTCTTTCCTGTTTTGAATGAGAGGAGGCAAGAGAGAGTTTTTGTTGATTTTTAAGTATGTCTGCTTTGGTGCTGAAAGACTTGGTCCTTCTCTCTGTGGTCTGGCAAGCCCGATGGCTGCAGATGCTGCCAGGAAGGGATCATTCAGCGCCCCTTCTGTGGCCTGGGCCGGGCCAGGCCAGGCCACTGCTTGTCACTTCACCATCTGGCCCCTGAGGCCTCTGTTTTGTTCTTTTCCAGATGAGAAGGCCAAAAGATTATTTTGATGAATACTCCCGGAGTCGAGATGTAGAAGGACTGAGGGCTTATAATGGAGAATATTCTAAGCATTATATCACCCTGAGGCCCATTGGCAGTGGGGCCTTCGGCTTTGTTTGGATCGCTAAGAGTAAGGAAGAAGACGAGGAGGTAAAGACCCTCTCGGCAGGCGTGGAGCTGGCAGAGGCTTCTCTCCTGGTGTCTCTTGTGGTAACGCTTACTGCCTGCAACATTGCTCTTTTATGTCCCTTGATGGTGGTCGGCCAGCATGGGACGGGCAGAGGGGAGCTTTGGGAGGTTTTAATATCAGTTATTTGTGTGCGCGAAGGTACACCTGGGACTTCCTGTCTGTCTTGTAGTAGGCCTGAGGAGTTCCTAGCAGGAGATGCTTGGGAAGTAGCAAGTGGCATAAGACCGAAAAGATGGTTCTGAGCACCAAGTCAGTAATGAGATGTGGGTCCCACAGTGCTTCTGTGGGTGTGACAGAATCTGTTTGCGAGTCCCTCGAGGCACTATCTTCTGAGCACCTCCTGAAATGGGAAAATACACCTCTTGCCTGGGAGGGAGCGGGCAGAGGCCTGTCACTGTCTGCTCAGTAACAGCTGACGTTGAACGGAATACCTCCCCCGGGAAGCTTTCTGTGTCCTCTTTGGGTCACATTTGACCAAGTCAGGCAGGGTTAGCACCAGATGACTGGCTTACTTGTGAGGAGTGGCAAGTGGTTTAGGATTTAACAACTTGAAAGACTGAACTGGGGCTGCTAGGTGGCGCAGCGGATAGAGCACCAGCTCTGGAGTCAGGAGGACCTGAGTTCAAATATGGCCTCGGGCACTTGATACATACTAGCTGTGTGACCCTGGGCAAGTCACTTAACCCCAGTTGCCTGACCAGAAAAAAAAAGAGAAAAAAAAACTGAACTGAGAAAGCTTTCTGAGTAACTTGCAAACGTAATAGGGTCAATATGTTTTAAACGGGGATGAAGTATTTTATGTGCAATGTGTACGTTGTATACAGAGATACATATACGCAGCTGCCTAGACCTATACACACACACACAGTCAGCGAGGTGGTGCAGTGGAAAGAGTGCCGGGCCTGGAGTCAGGAAGACCCGAGTTCAAATCCGGCGTCACATGATTGCTAGCCATGTGACCCTGGGCAAGTCACTTCACCCTATGTGCCTGAGTTTCCTCCTGGGTAAAATGAGCTGGAGAAGGAGATGGCAACCCCCCAGTACCTTTGCCAAGAAAACCCCCAGTGGGGTCAGGAAGGGTTGGGCGTGGCTGAACATGACTGAACAACATGCATTCATTCGTGTGTACATGCGCGCAATGTTATCGTTTGCGTGGCTACTTTAAATGTCTTTTTGAAGGATTTAGGAAATAAATCCAAGGTTCCAAGCCCACTGTTTGTGCACAGTGCAGCTTGGCTGCATCCTCGTGCTGTGGGTTTACAGGGTTGGAAGCAGACTTTGGATCAGCGGGTTAAAGGTCGAGGGAAGTACTTGACGTTCTTTTCACCCTAGGTGGTGGTGAAGTTTATTAAGAAGGAGAAGGTGTTGGAGGATTGTTGGGTGACAGATCCCCAGCTGGGAAAAGTGACTCAAGAGATTGCCATTCTCTCGAGGATGCAGCATCCCAACATCATTAAGGTGCGTGGCTGTTCCCTCTGCTTCGATGCCCTTCTCTCAGCTGTTGGAAAGGGAAGAGGGACACAAACCCTTAGTCACAACAAGGGGAGCAAGAGTTAGGAAGAGTGATCTTAGCGTGGCGACGGGATGCTCTCCTCCTCCTTCCAGGTGCTAGATGTGTTTGAGAATGAAGGGTTTTTCCAGCTCGTGATGGAGAAACATGGCTCTGGCATGGATCTCTTCACATTCATCGACAGCCACCCCGCTCTGGATGAGCCCCTGGCCAGCTATATCTTCAGACAGGTGAGCGCCGGACTGCGTGAGGTCGGAGCAGGCTCATGTTTTCCGTGGGTGGGTCTGTGCACTGCCCAGAAAGCACGGGCCTCCTGAGGGTTGTGTGTGCTAGAAGGGAGAGAGACTTTGCAGTGGTGCCTGCTTGCTAGGAGGCTGGGCAGCTTGGAGGGGATTCTTGTTTGGCTCGGGTGCTTCTGAGGATTGTGGCAGCATGGATAGTAGATTGTCTTCAGTTTGTCATGATCAGTAATGTTTATTGAGCCCTTCCAGCATCCAGAAGACATGAAAGAAAAAGTTCTTGCATCTTGTGGCTTACCCTTTCTTAACAGGTAGTGTTAAGAAAGTGAGGGGGCCTTGATCCTCTCAGTGAAGGTTTGGGGGCTTCAGGAGAAGGGGGAAAATTATAAAGAACATTTGTGTTCTAAAATCCTCCTTCCTCTCAATGCAAGACAGATATCCCCACATGTTCCATATAACAAAAGGGTATGAAGTAGCCACATTATTACTAAAAGATACTATCTAGACACATACACACACACACACACCCCTACACACCTGATATATATGTATATGTGTGTGTGTCTGTGTATGTGTGTATATATATGTGGTGTTCATTGCTTCCTCAAAGTAAGAGCTACCATACTGTACCATATGTCTAAAATGAGCCTGCATTTTGAGGGAATTCTTAGAATCTTTATTATTTAGAACTTTGAAAATGGTATGGACAGTGTGACACTGACGAAAACTGAACATCTGGGATTCTCTTAGGTGTCCATACATCTCAACTTTTGATTTTCCAGTCTTCTAATTCAAACCTGACTTCATTTAAAACACCGCCTGCCCCCCCCCCCCGCACACACACTTCCCTGATTTTCTTCCCATTTCATTGCAAGTTCAAGTTCAGGAAGCGACATGATGTCCCCTCCCCCTGCCCCCTCCACAAGCCCAGGCTGGAGAGTGTTGCCGCTGCAGAGCAGGGAAGGGGACCGGCCCCTCTGTCCCCACCAGCACCAGCGTGCTTATGTGAGCACGAACGGTCGACATTCTTGGCTTTCACGTGGCATGGGTCTCAACAGGCTCCAAGCCTGGGGGGGTGACCACTCCTCTTTCTGTGGCCCCGCTGGCTGGACAGGAGAGCAGATTTGCTTTGCTTGACGATGACGCATCTCCACCTGTGTTTTAGGTAGTGTCAGCCATAGTGTATCTCCGATCCCAAAACATCATCCACAGAGACATTAAAGATGAAAACATCATCATCGCAGAGGACTTCACAATTAAGCTGGTGGATTTTGGCTCAGCTGCTCATATGGAACCTGGCAAATGCTTCTACACCTTTTGTGGCACCATCGAGTACTGCTCCCCAGAAGTCCTCATGGGACATGCGTATGTACCCCAGCACAGCCAGGTTCCCTCTTGTCTCAATCCCCATGCTATTGGCTGGCTATGGAAAGGGCTCTGAAGTGGGCCTCTGTTAGGATAAGGAGAGGGATCAGAGACTGAGGGCACCCAGCCCAGCCCCTTGGATCCAGGGTGCCCTTCGCCAGGAGGCCCTGAAGTGGCTGGATGTTGGCTGTCTTGTTCTGCAGAGAAGTGGATCGAATGCTAGATTTACGAAGGAGTAATTATGTGGGCACCTAGAATGATGTCAGGTTATTCATTCAAAGATAAAGTGGTAATGATCTGGCCAGCCAATTAGGTTAATATAGGGGATTCACATTTAAGACTGCTGCTGTTTCCCAAACTGAGGACCTTCTGTTCATGGTGCAGCTCACCAGGCAAGGGGCTGAGAGTTGTGGGTGCTGGTCCCAGCCTGGAGCCTCCAGTGCTCTGGGGATGCTGTGAGCCCACAGGGCACACATGAATCTTCCCAGGCTCATCTTCTCTGAGGTCCTGAGGGCGCGTCACTATTGTCTCTGAATTTGGTCTGCTACGTGAACAAGGCGTTAGACCAACCTGACCGTGATGTCATAGACTTATCTCAATAGAGCTGTGTCTAGGAGCTCGATCCAAAAACTCTGACTCACTCGAGTCAGCCCGCTTCATCTTTGGAAGTCCTAATGCTGCTCGAGGCACCAGATGGCCTGGGTTCATCAGCTGACAATCCAGGCTCGTTTGTCAGGGCCAGGAATCCATGAGGCATTGAGAGGCTGCTGTTGGCTTTGGAGTGTGCTCTTGGGTTAGGCATCTCTTGGGTTAGGTTCCCTCTGAATGGTAAAATGTCGTTACTTTATCTCAACAAGAGACACGATTCCTCCTAGTATAGAAGCATTCATACCCACAAAGGGTATGAATGAACACCGTGGGAGGTAAGACCCATGCTCCCAGGGCCTGCTTCATTCCTCATAAGGTGTAGTCTTGAGGGTGCCTTCTCCTGTTGTCAAGGAATGAGCGAGTGGTAGCAGTGTCTGGCAGGTAGCTTCCTCGTGCCAGCTTCACTCAGGGGTGCCTGCCAGGGGAGGGACTGCATGCCCGGGGCCAGCTCTCGGGAGTGTAGTCAGATGGCTGGGATGTGCCTGTGAGTGTGTGACTGACTGCTGCTTATCTCTGAACAGCTACCAAGGACCAGAAATGGAGATGTGGGCCCTCGGGGTGACCCTCTATACTTTAATGTTTGAAGAGAATCCTTTTAATGAGTTAGATGAGGCCCTGGAGGCTGTAATAAAGCCTCCTTTTCCAGTCTCACCTGGTAAGTGCATTTCATTTCATCATGAATCCCCCCTTAAGAGCTTCCATGTTTCCATTTTCTTTCTTCTTCCATAGTGGTTGCTCACTTTATCTCCTTCTTGGGAGGTCCATTTACTTCCTCTTTTCCCGATCCTCTAATTCTCTGACCCCAAAATTGTGGTCCTCAAAAAGCAATGAGCCAGGATACACTTAGAGGCCAGCACCACAGTTCTTTGCTTTTTGATGCTGGAGGCAGAATGGCAGCTTTTGTACACACTGGGCTGAGAGCTTGGTCACTGGCCTCTTGTGGGAATGTCCTTTCTTAAGATGTCCCATGCTGTTCACTTCAGATGACTCTCTAGAAGTGAGCTCTTCACACTTTCTGTGCGCATGAGAAATCTGAGAACAGGACCTCCTTGAGAAGGGTAGGAATGAGAGCAAGGAGTCTGGGGGATGTCTTTTCCTCTGTGAAAAACCTCCTTTGGGATGGAGAGACGCTCTGGAAAATCCTGGGCGTGTGGGCACGCTTGGAAGGCCACATGCCGTGGCCATATCTCTGGAGTGGCCGCCAGCCACAGAAGTATCCTCCTAATCCAGGTGATGAAGTGCCTTCCACATGAGGACAGGTCACCAAGATTAGTGTTGTTCAGCTCAGAAATATGCAGGCCATGAGAGGATAACATGGAAGTGGGTCACAGTGGGGAGGGGAAGGAAGGGGAGATGGACACACACTTGTTCACCAAGTGCTAGAAAGGCTGAACTATGAAGTATGCCTTGAGGCATCAGCAAGTCGTTTTGTGGCATGTAAAAGAAATTCCATCAGAACATGATCTGGTGTGACATTGATACTGAATATACTGTGGGCCAGTCAGTCATGTCCTTTCAGAAATAGTTACCGCACACAAGTAACAAGCTAGGCTGTAACATGGTTGTTGGCATTACCTCCAGGCAAGAGCTCTGAAGAAATCTCACTGTTGTGCTTTATGAAGAAGGTAATAAATACATGGGACTCCTTTTCCTCTGAGCTTATGCAGACCGAAAAGATGCCTGGGGTTAAGAGAAGGGCCGGCGAGTAAAAGGGAACAGGGCTGTTAACAGTTTCTCTCTAGTCTTCTGAAGTCCCAACACATCCCTTACTGCATTGCCTGAAGCAGAAGGGTGGGCTGGGCGGCCCAACTTTCTGGTCTACCCAGTCTTCCTGCCTTGTGGCCCCTGCTTATTAATGTGGCTCATTGCCCTGATGTCCTCAGTTCAGCTGACTCTTCTGCATATCCACCCCCTCTCCTCCATCACTGGTGACATTCTAAGGCATAGAAAGGGGCTTAGAGGTCTCCAGAGAGTCTCTGGCTTAAGGGCTGGGTGACCTGAAGAGGGATTTGGAGTAGCAGGCATAAGAGCCTGTTTGCTGTGGGTAGAACCTTGCTCCATGTGTGATCCTATTCTGTTCTCCCTAGACCTTTTGAACCTTCTCTGTGGCCTCCTGGAGCCCAACCCAGAAGAGCGCATGACCTTGGACGTGCTGATACACCATTCTTGGGTGATCCAGCCCGTGAACTTAGCTAACTATTCCTGGGAGGAGGTGTTTCACTCAGCTGCCATACCAGGTAAGAGGCAGGGTAGGCAGAGGGGTCATCGATTGCTGCTCCACACAAAGTCCCAGACATAGCTGGCATTGATTCACCTTAGGATGAGGTGCTCCACAAACTTTAGCTGGCTCTGCAATTACTGTGGTAATTCCAGGTAAGTTTTAAAGAATGTCCACAGAAGGTTCTCTAGAATTCTTACTGGAAGCAGCAAAACACTTATATTTAGCACCTGATGTCAATGGGAGCAGGTAATGTGGAATTGTAACTTAGTTTTTAAAAAATATCTTTTATTGACGTCTTTTGTCTTTACCTCATTGCCATTCCTGGGGGGAAAAAGTCCCTGTCTTCCCTACATTGAACCGCCCTTTGTAAGCAAGAAAAATGAGTAAGCAGAAGTTCCGAACGTTGTGGTTGCATCTGGTGTTGTGTACAGCATTCTTAGTGCCCTTTGCCCTCTTCAGGGAGAAGTGAGGTGGGGGCTTATGAGAGCGCTTCTTCAGTGACCCATCCACGTCAGCTTCATTTACGTGGTTCAGGGTTGGGGAGCAGTGTCCATGGTTCTCTGAATTCCTCCTTCGGTTTTTACTCAACAATTGATAATATCCCTTTACATTCATATACTTAATTTTTCCAGCTAATCTCCATTAATGGACACCCACTTGGTTTCTGTTTTTACTTCTACAAAGAACCTTGTGGTGAATGTTTTGGGGAATGTGTGTATGTAGACACACACATACACATGTGGGTCAAAGAGCATGAACAGTGTAGGCATTCTTGGAGCATATCAAGTTGAAATCCATCCTGCTTGGATTGGCACACAGCCCCACCAATAGTCTGTTAGTATGCCTGCCTTCTTACTGCTCCTCCATCGCTAACTGTCTCTGCCTTTGTCATCTCGGCTAATTTGCAGGGTGTGCATTGTTTTAATTTGCATGCATTTAATAACTATGTCTTTTCATTTCAGAAAGTAGTATTCATTCACCCTAGAGGAGAGAGAGGAGACTGAATGAAACAGTAAGTAGGACCTCAAAATGTCAAAGTAGACTAATTGTGTCTTCTTAAGTACTGAGCTGCTGCTGCTGCTAATGTGTCCTGTGTCCAGAGGACCTTGCCCGGGGCCACCCCATGACTTGCACTTTCCCTGCCATCTTCACTGATGAGGAATAGTTTTGGGCTCATTCACTGTCTTCACCACTGTTTTCAGAACCCTTCCTTGGGGGGCAGGGTGGGAGGCTGACAATCTTGATGCTCTCCAGAGCTAATCTAACAAAAAACCACGCTCTGAGCGTACGGAATGGATTTTATCTTCAAATTTTCCTTGTCTGAATTTGAAAAGAACAGTTGTAGTGTGAAGTTTGATATTGCGACAGGGCTTTTCATGGAGGACTTTAGACATGCTTATGCTTTCTCCTTTCCTTCCTCCTCTCGTGTATTTGCGTGTGTCATGTGGTGTGTGCCCATCAGAGAGGCAGACGCTGGAACTCCATAGAATTGTAGGCCCAAACTGACCAGACCCTTCCTAGTATTTTTTTTCTTTCAATTCCAACTTTGGGCTGACCAAAGTAAGTGGACCATGCTTTGCACACTGCTGGGCAGCTGGTACCTTTAAGCACAGATGTGGCTGTTACCATACATTACAGCTCTTGGGTGAGCTTGGTGGGATGCCCACCATTGCACAACAGCTCTCACTGACAGAGAGATGCCTTCTGCTGGGGTCGCTGCTCAGGGGGACAGGCTGAAAAGGAAGTGTCTTAGCCAGGGACAACTTCTGCCTGTAGTTAGAGATGGTGACAAAGCAGTGTCCTTCCTCCCTTCAGAAGATGTTCCTCAGGGATGGTACCATTTGAATTCTTCTTCTTGGAAACGTTCTCATTTGCTAAATGTGTTCCCTTCAGTTGAGTCAGACTGAAACCCTCAGTCTTAGGTTTTTGCTTGGACGAGCTTTGCTTTAAAGAACAACACAACAGTGAGGAAGCTCGTGATGTTTACCTCTTAAGATTGATTTGTGTCTCTATGTTCTAAGAATTCTCCTTTCTGCAGGACTGAAAAGTAAACCTGTTTTTCCTTAAAATGCTCAGGAATTCCAGTGGCTAAAGTATCCCGAGAATGTGTTCTTCAAAGGTGAAGCTGAGCTGCCTCCAGGAATGCACAGCCCATGTCTTTGAAGTCTGTTACTTTTTTGTAAGAGAAACTAATTAAAGTTCATTAAACTGAACAATAGAAATGTGTGATGTGTTTTAGGGAGAAGGAAAATTTAATACCTTGGCAATTAAATGCTGAGGCTAAAATTTTCCTCACATTTTTGGGAATGTGTTTAAAAATGAATATTATACAAATGACCGAGGGTGTAGTCCATATTTGCAATCTGCATCATGCCTGTCACTTTGCTTCCAAGATGCATTAGTTTCTGGTTCCAGGCCCCTAAATTCCCTCCAAGAAAAGAACTCAGTTGCTCAGGTTTTGTGTACAATTTGATGAACACACTAAATTGATTTTTATAATATGACTCTAGATTGTGTGATTTAGTGGTACAGATGGGCAGTGTGGTCTAATGGGAGGAGTCCTGGCCCGGAAGACAGCCAAGGCTCATGATCCATACTGGCTGGGAAATGATGAGGTAGCCTTGTCTGGATAACAGGCCTTGTTCATCCATTTAGTTTTTCTCATTGGAGTCATGAAGCCACTGTTTTCAGACTTAGGAGACTCTTCTCAAGGCAGGATAGTCAAACTGTTTCAGATTTCCTTGAGTTACAGAATTAGGCTGGGTTTATTCGTTTTGTAGCCCAGTGATAGCTCCAACACCATCATTCTCCCCTGTGCCACATTGAAGGATCTGGGACACACCCCAAGCTAAACCTGAGATGATGACATGGCACTGACAGGAACATCCTGGCTGTCTCTGCCAGATCCAGGGCAGCTAAACATTTCTGGATCTCTCCAAATGATGTCATCCTTCAAAAAGTGGAGGAAGCAAGGAGTGAAATGTTCTGGACCCAGTAGTAAGGAAGACCTGGTTGCTAGGGTTGAAAAGATGGATACCCTGGAGTGAAACAACTGCTCCAACTTGAGATTTGCAATGAGAGAGAGGAAAGTTGTGTGATACTCCACTAAGCCTAAGAGAAAGAACCCAGAATCTAGCTGGGGCCAGTTCTTTTCACCTCTCCTCTCTCCCTCAATCACCTGGGGGCAGAAATAAGTTTGGTGAACCATGAACTGCCTAGAACGGGAAGAGGCTGAGAAGCTTTGAGAGCCAAACCTCAAGGAACCTGCCATTCAAAGGGCGGGAGTCAGAAAGCGAGCAATAGGGCAAACTAAGGGAAAAGAAAGAAATTGTCAAAAATCTAAGGAGAAAGAAAACTCAAAGACCTTTAGCATAAGCAGATAAACCAACAGGGAGACATTAAGAGCAGGAGGAAATATGGCCTCTGGATCAAGTGAAAGAGTTCAGGCATCTACGAATATGTATTTCAAGATAAAGGAAAAGGATTCTACACTTGATGAGGCAGAGAACTTCCCATATTGTTTAAATGAGAAATAAATAATGTGAGAGCAGAATTTATGGCCTGAACATCAGATATAATTGGCAGGATAGAAAAATTTGAATCTGTAGTGGCAAGTGTCATCAAACAAATGAAAGAGAGGATGACAGATTGGGAATGCAAATATGTGGAAGTAAAGGGCAATCTGGAAGAAGCAATGTCAAAAGCAATAGCATTAAAAGAAAGCATCCTCTCCATACAAGCAAAACTTAATGACCTTGAAGACAGGATACAAAGAGACAGATTATAGGTCTCCCTGAAGAATGACAAAAAACTTGAAACACTACAATGAAAGAAACAGGAAACTGCCTAGAACCTCTAAACACAGAAAACTGTGAATCAAAAGAATCCATAAATTACCTTCAGGAAAAAACAAAAACAACCAGATAAAAAGAAACCCGAGGCTGCAAACCACACAGAGTGGTTAAATTGAACAATTCTACTGAGAAACAGCAAATTCTAAAAGGAGTCAGGAGAAAGATCTTCTGTTAAAAAGGGAAAGAAACTCAAATACCACAAAACTATTCTACACCGAGTAGAAAACACAGGAAGAAATGGAATGATGTATTCCAAAGAGCAATGGCGCTCAAGATGCAATTGATGTATGTCTCATGCTGAGTTTGAACTCAAGTCTTTCTGACTCCAGGCTTAATGCTATCCACTGTGGTGCCACCTATACTAAACATAGTCTTAAATCTGACTCCACATTGGGTTTATTTCTACGTTTTAATGTAACACAAGAATAAAGTGAAAAATACTTGCTCACACAAATATGTAATGGAAAATAGCAGAATTTTATCAACTCTTTTGCTGAGAGATGGAAACACTTTATTTTTAGCTACATAAATAGTTGACAAAAACGAATAGCTAGTTGTGATATAAAATATTTACCTTTTCACTGGCTAATGACAAGTACTGTATTAAATGATAAAAATGCTTAAAGTCTGATTGCATATATTGCTTCATTATATAACACTCTTTAAACTCTTCAGATGTGACTTTCTTTTCTGTCATTAGCACACTGGCTACACTCTTTAAAACAGAAAACTGCCTTAATGCTACGAGAGGCACTATAAGGTTTGTTTCTGCAGATCGTTTGTGACGGTCCATAAAGGTTTCAAGCTGACGTGTAACGTGCATGCTCAGCGACAGCCTGATGTTTGCCATGTCTGGATCACGTGATTACCCAGGCGATGAGGTATGATTACAGAGTAATAGAGGGGAATGAGGGTGTCACTCTCGCACAGTATACCTGAATGCAAATGAGGGTATGTGCATGCCCCTGACCATCTGTTGGTTTGGGCTTGGAAGGTGAACCTTGTGATGATTTGGAAACAATTTGATGACGTACTGAGAAACTGAAAGGGCAGGTGCTTAGTCAAACCAGAGCTGCTGTGTGTGTGAGACCACAGTGGTTTTAAATCGAAACATGCCTATTCTTGTCACAAGGAAAAAATACTTTGTCACATAATCAGGCCATTATTTACTGCTTAAGGTGTCATGAAAGACTTTTTTAGCATGAACCCCTTGGACCATTGTTCACTGTATAGGAACACACTGTGTATAAGGTACTGCATAATACAGCTTCAGCCTACTTTTGTGGCTCCATTTCACATTGCTCTTTGTAGATCAGATTAGGAGTCAGCAATCTGTGGCACACAGAAGGCTGTTTTTGTATGGTCCACAAACTTAAGAACAGCCTTTACGTTTTCAAATGAGGTTTTCTTTTTTTTTTTTTTCCATCTTTTAAAAATTTTTTTATTTTATTAATTTGTTTTGATTTATCAACAATCACTTCCATATGCTTTTGAGTTGAAAATTTTTCTCCTCCTTCCTTCCCCCCACCCTCCCCAAAACGGCGCACAATCTGATATTGGCTTTCATTTACATTCCTATTAAGCATATTTCCACATTAGTGAAGTTGTAAGTAAAAATTAAAACCAATAGGAGGAACCATCAGAAAGATGAAACAAACCTCAACAAAAGGTAAAAATAAGTGATAGCGATTCGACTTCCACAGTTCTTTCTTTGGATGTGGACAGCATTTTCCATCCTGAGGCCTCTGGAGATGTCTTGGATCCTTGTAATGCTGAGAAGGGTTCGGTTTAACAACATTAGTCATTGCATAACGTGGCTGTTACTGTGTACAAAGTCCTCTTGGTTCTGCTCACTTCACTCTGCATCAGACCATATAAGTCTTTCCAGGTTTTTCTGAAGTCAGCCTGTTCATCATTTCTTACAGCACAATAGTATTCCATTACATTCATATACCACAACTTGCTCAGCCATTCCCCAACTGATGGTCATCCTCTCAATTTCCAATTCTTTGCCACCACAAAAAGAGCTGCTATGAATATTTTTGTACATGTGGGTCCTTTTCCCATTTGTTTGATCTCTTTGGGATATAGCCCTAGAGGTGCTATTGCTGGATCAAATGGTATGCACATTTTTGTAGCCCTTTGGGCATAGTTCCAAGTTGTTCTCTAAAATGGTTGGATCATTTCACAACTCCACCAACAATGCATTAGCGTTCCAATTTTCCCACATCTTCTCCAACATTTATCATTTTCCTGTTTTGTCATGTTGGCCAATCTGATAGGTGTGATGTGGTACCTCACAGTTGTTTTGATTTGCATTTCTCTAATCAATAATGATTTAGAGCATTTTTTCGTATGACTATAGATGGCTTTAATTTCTTCATCTGACAACTGTCTGTTCATATCCTTTGACCATTTATCAATTGGGGAATGGCTTGTGTTCTTATAAATTTGTCTTAATTCTCTATATATTTTAGAAATGAGGCCTTTATCAGAGAGACTGGTTGTAAAAATTCTTTCCCAATTTTCTACCTTCCTTCTAATCTTAGTTGCATTGGCTTTGTGCAAAAACTTTTCAATTTAATGTAATCAAAATTATCCATCAAATAAGGTTTTCTTGTATTTGAAAAAGTAAAAACTTTAGGTTGTAAGCCATTCAAAAACAGGCTGCAGGCCAGCTTTGGTTCTCAGGCCATAGTCCGTAAACCCTTGGATTTGATAAAGCATTCACTAAGTGATATTACTATGCTCAAACACTGTGCTAAGTACTGGGAATACAAATATAAGCAAAAAGACAGTCCCTGCCCTCAGGGAACTTACATTTTAATGGGGAAGACAACACATAAAAGGCGGATGGGCAAGGAGTCAAGCTGGAAAGGTAATCTGGAGAGTTGGGGGCTTCTGACCTGAGCCAGGTTAGGAGTGAACCTAGTTGGTGTGGGTACTTTCTCAAACGGATGTTTTGGGGAGGAACTCTTCAAAACTGGAACAGGCGGATAAAGACGTGGAGGCACTGCCCGCGTGAGAAGGCCGTGGGGATGGAGATGGCACGAGGTCTCAGGCATCACGGGCTGAGCTGGTAGGAAGATTGGGACCCAGCCAAACGGGAGCGCCAGACGGATGTTCCTTGTAGAAATTCATTTTCTCCATGCATTTCATAAAAAAAACCCTTCCTTTGAAAAGTCACCCAAGTCGTGCAGATAAAACACGCCCTTGCAATTGTATGCCAACGTCCTGCCCAGACTGCTGCAGACAGGCCTCCTCGTGGGAGCCCCCAGGGACCCACTCCTGCCTCGTGCTGCTGGGTGCGAAGCAGCAGCGGTCCGTGGACTTTCTCCACGGACAAAACTCATTGTTCCCCTCCCTCCCCCACGATGCTGTAAGGAGGGGGAGGGTCTCAAGCTCTCGAACCTGGGACTCCAGCATGTGGGCTGCAGGGTCCCTGGATGGGGGGCGGGGTCTCGACTTGGGTTTGGTGGGATTCGTGCTGTGCAGGAAGCCAGTCAAACGGAGCTTCGTGCCTCTCTTCTGCTCAGGGCCGAGGCACTACGGGGGGATCACAGGCGTCCCTGAGTGGAGTGATTACGGAACAGGGTGCCTGGACCCCTAAAACGGAAGGAGCGCAGTCGGGGCGGGGCTCCAGCCAACGGTAGAGGCACGAAGCCCCCCGGGAGTGGGGCCAGATTCCGCCCTCGTTACAGGAACCCGCTGACCAGAGCCCGGGCACCTGCCCTCACGGGGGGCTGGGGAGGACCCAGATCTGGAGGCATCTCTCGCGCTCCTCCTCCCGGCTTCTCTGCTCCGCTTCCTCCCTAGCCCCTGCCAGCGCTGACGTCATTCGGAACGCTTGAGCCGAGCGCTGGTTTCCGCGGGAGGCGGAGAAACCCGACGGACCGGAAGAAAGCCGAAGGGTCGACGGATCGCGCGCAGGACTCCCGGCGCCATGGCGGCGAGGTGCAGGCAGGTCGGTGCCTCCTACCCCGAGCGCGTCCTACCCTAGAGGGGAACCTTGGGTCCCGGGAGGGAGGCGCCGTCCCAGAGCTGCCCAGTGCAGGAGTGCCTGGGCTGGCAGGCGAGTCGGGGTCCGTGGAACCCAGAATAGGCTTCCCTGTTGTCCGCACCAGGGCATCATGTTGGGGGTCGGTCGTACGGCTGCGCGGCCGGCTCTTCTCCTCCCCCCTCTCCGGGATCTGAAGTGCGCTTGCGTGGCCGCAGGGGCGGGCCGGGAGTCGGCGTGCTTAGACGCAGGCCCCTCCTCCTGCGCCCCCGCCCCGGGAGCTGGAGTGGGGCAGTGCGGCTGCGCAGCGCTGAGCTGGTCCACGGGGGGGGGAGGGGGGCGGGGGGGGCGGTGCTGTCGGAGCTGGGAGGGGGTCTCGAGGCGCAGGGATCCCTCCCCCCAGTTCCCAGGGCGCGTGCCTGTGTGGGCCTCAGGTTTCTCATCTGTAAAGTGGGGGGGGTGGAGCATAGGTGAGGAGTCTGTGGTCGCTGGTGGAGGGGACTTCCGGGTGAGGAAACTCGTTCCGACAAGGCATGCTGTCAGGTAGGACTTGAACCCAGGTCCTTTCCGACGCTGGCCCTCCCCCCCCCCCCCGCCCCGTGTTGGGTTGTGTTTAGTTAGGTTCTGCAGGCATTCATTAGGCGCCGTGTGTGTGTGTGTGTGTGTGTGTGTGTGTGTGTGTGTGTGTGTAATATACACATATATATGTATACATACACACACATGTACATGTACATACGTTAATGGTGAAGGAAAAATGATCATGAAGAAGGTGCTAGAGGGATGGCTGTTGTCATAGGCAGCATAGTGATGTATGAAATGTGTGGCAGCGTAATTATATTTTTTAAATTCAAGTCCATTTGATTTTAAATTCCATCAGAATGGGCAGTGAGCCCCTCCTCAAAGTTGGGCTCATTGAGGATCCGCGGGAGTAAGAGTCTGGCTCTTGCGGGCCCAGCAGATCCTGGAGTAGCCCATCCTGCTCTGTAGCAAGGGATAATGAAAAGGATGCTCTGCAGCCTCTGAATTTAAAAGACCCTGCATTTGTGTTCCAGTGTGGGATATGATTTAATTGATTGCTTTAAAAATGGGCTGTTTTTTGTCGTAATCCAATTGTGACAGGTAGGCCTAGTTTCCCAGGTTTGGGGTTTTCCATTATTGTACAAGTTAAAAACAGAAGTGACCCTTGACTTGTTCATTGTTTTGTAGGTCTTTCAGTGGCACAGGCTGGTCCCCTTCCCTGGTCTGTATGGGGCCCCATGGCTGTGTGTGCGCAGTGTACAGGATGCTGCAGCTGGGGCTCCTTCCCAGATGCTCGGTCGTAGATTAACGACAGCCTCCTCGAAAGGTGATAGTGAAGAAAGAGCCTCTCTGACTTCTAGAAACCGTATTAAGGAGCTAGAATCCAGCAAGAACGTTGTGACCCTCCTGGTTGAGAAGGAGCCATCCTCCATGGATCAGGGTGCTGTGGATTTGGAGAAGGTGGTTATTTTGCTTTTGGACATGGGATTCAGCGAGACTCATATAAAGGAGCTGTTCAGGATCCATGCAGGCATCAGACCTGAGCAGCTGCTGGCGGTGGTTTCAGAGCTGATGCTGCTGGGTTTGGACCCTGATCCTGTGTGTAAAGCCTTGCAGAAGAATCCTAGAATCCTGCGGTTGACAGTCAAACAGCTGAAGAGTCGGGCCAGTCACCTGAGACGTTTGGGGCTTGGAGGAGGTATTCTTTATGGGATTCTCTTATGTACGGACTTATTTTCTCTTACCTTCCCCTTTCTTCTCCTTGTGTTGAAAAACTTTCCATCTTTTTACCTTGAATTGCCTTACAGGGGAATAATTCACATTTTATTTTATTCTAGAGGAAACAATGAAAAGGTCATTCTTTGTTAGTCCCAAAAAGCATCATAAGAAGCGTTAGTGGGAACAGTACATAGTACTCAGACCCTTCAGATCAGCTCCCTGTTACCTCTCCACAGCTTGGCGTTCAGGACCCTTGGGGAAGCCAGTGGTCTCCAGTGGAGCCCGGGGCCTGGGTTCACATCCTGCCTTTGTCCCTTACCAGCTGTGTAACCTTGGCCAGTTCACATAACTTCACCAGGCCTCAGTTTCCTCATCTGTAGAATGAAGAGGTCGTACCAGACGGCCTCTGAATCTGTGATCCTATATTCCCATTGCCATCTGATTTCATGGAATAAGTGTTTTAAAAGGGACTGCTTGGTATCAGGCACTGTTCGAGGTGCTGGGATAATGAGGACATCAGTGACACAGTCTTTGCCTTCAGAGAACTTATCTCAAATGAGGGAGAGGGGACAAGGGGAAGCTCCTGGGTAGTGGGGACAGGACGTCTGGGTGCTCTCTGGGATTCATTATGGGAATCATTCCTCCCCCTCCCCACCTCTGTTTTTCGCAGAGGAAACCAAAGGCTGAGATGCGAGGTGATGACCATACGCCCGTCAGGGCAATAGGTAGGAGAGCTGGAATGCAGCCCTAAGTTGTCCTGACTTCCATTGCATGGGATGCCTCCCAAACGTCATCCCTTGAATTGTAAACGTGTTAGGTGATATTTCATAATGATTTGAGGCATGACCATTGACCAGCAAGATGAACAAGAAGCAAATAAACCTGGTGGGTTCCTCTTCCTGGTTGACTCTGCCTCGGCATATCTCGGGGAAGACATTCTGGGCGTGATGCACCATCTCCTGAAATAAATACTTCAGACATTTAGCGAAACACTGACTACCTTGTTCAGGCTGTGTGTGAGAACAGTTTGGAGAGATGATCATGAAATATGCTAGGTTCTCCTGCGTTGTGCCCAGCCAGAGAGGGTGCGAGTTTTCCTGTGCATCTCCTTTCTGGGTGCTTTGAAAGTGCAGAAGGCAGTGGGAGATTCTGGGAGTCCTGATCTGCTGGACCTCTCCTGATAGCCAAGAGAAGAGGGTCACTAACACTGACCAAAGACACCTTCGAGAAAAAGGTCTAGAAGAGAGTGCGGGGCCTGGAGTCAAGAAGACTTGGGTTCAGATCCAGCCTCAGACACTCACTGTGTGACCCTGGGCAAATCCCTAAACCTCTGCTGCCTCAGTTTACTTATTTGTATGAGGACTGGGGATAATAACACCTCCCTCCCAGGTTTGTTGTGAGGGTCAAAGGAAGTAATAGTTGTAATGTGCTCATAGTAAGTGCTACATAAATGCGTTCTTGTTATCATCATCATTATTAATGACTGTAGACTTGTCCTGCATCTAGTTGCTGTGACCAGTGCCTTCGGGGTGGGGTGAATGGGGGGGAACTCCTTATTCTTTGTCACGCTTTTGGCCCATGTCAGGTTCTGAGGCTTGGTTAATGATGTTATAGGTAAACCACATGTATAGTTGGCTTTCAATATCAGTTCAGAAATAAGTGGAGGAGGCCAGTGTTCTCTTTTCAACTCAAATAAAGAAGTATTTATTCAGTCCCTGTTCTGGGTAAGGCACTGTGCTGGCCTCTGGCAATACAGAGACAAGAACAAGGCACTGCCTACCCTCATGGAGCTTACATTCTACGAGGGGATACAGCACGTCGACAGATAAGTAAATACAAAGTGATACAAGAGGAAGAGAGTGTGACCAGCTGGAAGGGGCTCTGGGAGGGCCTTGGGTGCAAGGTGGTGTCTGGGTGGTGCTTTCAGGGATGCTGAGGAGTCCAAAAGATGTAGGGGAGGGGGGACTGGGGCTCCTCAAATGAGGCCTGCAGCTGGGAGATGAGAGGCTGTGTCTGGGGAACAGTTGGCAGGCTTCTTCAGCTGGAATGGGCAAGGCGTGAAAGGGAGTCCTGTGAAATGAGACAGAGAGCAGGAGCCAGGTTGTGTCTTAAATGAGAAGCTTTTGTATTTTGAGGAGAGAGTCTTCACTGTTGGAAGCTGCAGAGGCCATCACAATGGGGGAGGGCTGAGGAAAGGCCCCGGATAGATAGAAAGAGGCCATGGCCTCTTTCTAGTGGTGGGAGAACAAGCGCTGAGAGGGCACCACACAGGGAGGGGAGGCGGTGAGGGCATTTCTGACCTTTGACCCCTAGGCAAGTCATCCTCTGCTCACCTGTAGGCCAAAAGCTGGAGCATCCCTACTTCCTGACCCTGCTTGGCACTTCTTTTTCCTCTTTTTCTCTCTTCCACCATTTACTGCCTAGGCTGTGCCCCAGCTCAGTCCTCATTTCTCATCTCACAAGATAGGAAAAGTTGGTAAGATGGTGAGACTGGGTGTGATAGGCCTGGTAGTGGGAGGGAGGTTGGGTAAATTGCCAAGGCTGCCCTCCTCAGCTTCAGCACTGGTTTTGTGGGCAGAATCTTCTGCCCCTGCCCCATCTCCTCACACCACCCTGAGAGGGTCTTCCTTACCCTCTCATCCTCCATGGAGAGGAAAGGGGCAAGTGGGAGGGCCTGCTAGGGTGCAGAAACCTCTGTGTTCACCTTGGTTATGACCATTCCATCCTCCCCCAGTCCTTCCCAGGCCCTAAAGCTTCAACCCCTTCAACTCCATGTCCTAATGGATGCCTGCCTAGGGCCATCGCAGCCACCACCAGGGGCTTCCTTCAGGCTAGACGAGGGAGGCAGCTCCTGCTATCCCAGGGTGGAACTCAACATATTTTGCCCAGGAAGCACTGGCACCTGTGGTGACGTTCTGAGGGCCTGTCAGTAGAATTTCACAGCTCTATGGCTTAAACGGGCGTACGACTAGTCATGATGTACAGCATCATTTCTTTGGAAAAAGACTTTGCAATTCCAGCATGTGCACTTTGGGAGCACAGTGTGTCTGTAATTTGGGGACTGCCTGTATTCACATGAGCCTTGTTCATTGTTCGTTCTTTGTGTGAAGAAGGGCCCGTGTGGTCATCCCCTTTCCTCTCCTGTGTCCCACAGGGAACTTGCAGCATATGACTCATTGCTGTCCAGACCTGTTCACCATGACCCAGCAGCGTATCAATGCCCTTGTCTCCGTTCTGAAGGACAGATGTCTTTTCACCGGGCAGCAGGTGACAGAGATTTTGTACAGCTGCCCTAGAGTTCTTCAGGAGGACCCCGCTGCCTTGGAGTATAAATTCCAGGTGAGAGAGAGCAGGTGAAAGTATGGTGGGGCCTCTGCCCACATGGGCAGAGCTTGAACCATTTGCTTTGCATCTAAGAACCAGGTAAGTTTTTCACCTTTTTAAAGAGATTATTAATAAAGAAAAAATGGGCAGCTGTATATGGTTGTGGGGCATTGTTCTTAACCTCAGATGAAGTCTGAAGTGAGGGTCATCAAAGGTCTATGAGAGAATGTCTTAGAGTGCTGGTATCCATCTGGCCAAGCCCTCTGCAAAACTTAAGGAGAAGAATGGTCCCTAGGCCCTCCTTCTCCCCAGTTCATTTTCCTTCTCTTTCCCTGGGGGTCAGGCCTGGGCTGGGGACTGTAATTCAGAGGAACGAGGGTCCCACATGAATCTAAAGCTCTGGGCTGGGGTCCTGGCGGCCACGGTTGGGGCTTGTGGCTGGGACAGGGCTTCTGGCTTCCCTCCCACTTCTGAGCCTCGTTTTCTTCCTCTGTCAGAGGGGCACCACAGTACTTGTGCTGGCTAGCTCAGGGTTTGGTTGAGGTAAGGGCTTTGTGTACAAACTGAAGTTCATGCAGAAATGCAAATTTATTGTTCAGGCTTATTATTATCACAATGGTAGTTAAATAAACCCTGGAATAAGAAGAGTAAAGTATATCCCTTGGTGGATCAGTAACTGGTATGAAAATGGTGACCTGATGCCTGGAATCGTCCATGACTTCTTTAGGGACTCTCTACATAGAGGGAAACTGAGGCACAGAGGAACCAAGTCACGCAGGAAGGGGCATTCACTTGCTGCCACTGTGGGACGTGCGGCTTGGTGTGAAATGAGCAGGGCTGCTGTGACTTCAACTGTTCTCAGGACCCAGACGGGAATCTGTTTTGAGCCTAATGTTTTCAATAGCAAAACCTGCCAAGGTGTGATCGAAGGAAGAAGAGACTTAGGGAAAGGAGGGACCCAGAACCAGGGCAGATTTCCTGGGGGTCACGGGAAGGGGAAGAATGTGTTTGAGGGGCAGGGGATGTGGCCTCTTCATTCCTCCGTGCGTGCTTGGTTTTCTCCCTTCCTTGCCTGTTTAGTTTCTTCAAGTGCTCTTGTCTAGGGCCTGGTCGGGTGTCCTGAATGTAGAAGGAGGTGGCAACCAGTGTGTCAGTGTCACACAGCTGTGTCCTGTCCTGTCATTATCCCCTGACCAATGGGAAAGAATCTGAACCCCTCCATTGGGTTCTTTCTCCCACTGTCTCCTTTGTTTCTGGTCTGTAAATCACAGGTGCTGTGGCCACGGATTGCGTGGGCAGAGCCTTGTGGATCGCCATTACTAGGGAGCTTCTCCCCTTAGGTATTCATTTGAATATATTGATTGGAATGGGGAAAGATGGAGGGCATGGTGGTTCCCATTCTGCCGCTGGGATTCCTCAATGTTTTTGTGTTGTTCCTTACAGTACGCATATTTTAGGATGGGAATAAAGCAGCGGGACTTGGTGAAGACCAAATACTTCCGGTACTCAATGACCAAGATCAAGCAGAGGCATGTCTTCTTAGAGCGACTGGGCCTTTACCAAACTCCTGATAAGAAGGGACAGACCCAGATCTGTAATCCTTCTGTGAATTCGGTTTTGAGAGTCCCAGAAGCAGAATTTTTAGCCAAGGTGGCCCACTCGTCTTGGGAGGAGTTTGAAGTCTTTAAGCAGCTCTTAGCTCGGGAGGAACTGGAGGAGGGTGACAGTCTGAGCGTTTCTGAGATGAGGACTCAGACTTGGCGGACACTGACGGTTCTGGCGATGACGAGGACTGAAAGGCAGAAACGAGTGGAGGATGCTGAAGGAGAGTTTGCCGCAAGCGTCATTGGAGGATTCTCGAGTTACTGATGTCCTCTGAAGACTTAGGTCTATGACCAGACAAACAGACAGACTTTGAGTAGAGGATCCAGCTCGCTCCCCACAGCCGAGATGCTGGAGCTGGAGGCTGGAGAGCCTTGTGATTCCATGTGTAATGAAGGACTCCCTGGTTGTGACGGATGTAAGAACGGCAGATCAGTCCGACCTCACTTTTTGCCTTGCTCATGTGTGAATTGCTCATGTAGCCTGGAGGGAGAGCTTCCTCCTTCTGATGGGAGGCAACGAGCTGTCTTTCTTTCCAGTGGGTCTGCAGTGAATGTGCTAAGTGGAGACAGTAAGACTGGGAAGGAGCAGGAGGGAGGCCACCCTCAGGATGCAGCAGGTGGCCAGCTACCTCCCAGGGGTCCTAGTTCTTAACCTAAAATGGCTGATTCACTCATGATCGCGGTGCACCGTGGAATGAGAACCAGTTGTGAAGTCTGGCTCTGCTTTTAGATTTACTCTGATTATTTATGAGCTTCTGTGGGGATCCCAATGAATGAGGAGTCCCATTGCTCTCCCGTAGCTCACTTCTCAGCCTGGGCTCTGTTACGTGTTGGGCCTTTCTGAAGCTGTGGCCTTGGTGCAACACCCACGTTGCCGTATTTCCTCAGGATGGAATGTTGGCTGAGCTGATTCAGTTTCACATGTGTGGAATTCCCCAGTAGAGATCTGGTCTTCATGGCAGAGACCCTGCCAAGGTACTGTGTACCATATTGGGCTCTGGGACATAGCCTGAAAGGCAGAGGACCTGGCTTCAGAGCCTGGCTCGGCCACTTAACCTCTGTAGGCCCCAGCTTCCTTGCTGTAAAATGAGGGGGTTAGGCTAGGTAACCTCAAGCTGTGATCCTTTCATTTTTATTCAGGCTTTCGTTGCTTCATTTATCAAGCAATCACAGCTCTATGGTGATCTAACCCTTTTTTCCCCCCATTGGGCTGTAGAGGAATGACTAACAAAGTATCATTAAACAAGATACGTTGAAAAATGTCATAACTGTAAACTTGCTGAGGTTGAGTTTTAGACTTCCTTACATGCTTTCTCCCATTTGCACAACCAGAAAGGGGCTTCAGGAAAATAAATTATATTAAAAAAAATTTCAAACCAACAAGATTTTTTGCTTTTGCTTTCTAGCCTTGATTTTGTACAATTTACATTAAGTAGTCAGTGTGGGCATGTAGTACTGGGCTGGTTGTGTGGGCCAAGGAAAGGAAACTCAGGCCAGAGCTTGAGAGTGGCCAGAGAGAACTTTGTGGCCACAGCTGACGTTTCACTGGGGGTGATGCCGGCCAGGAGTACTGGGGGAAGGCGACTTGACTGGCTGTGCAAGGAGGCTGTGCAAGCGATGTTGGCTCAGCAAGAAGGACGTTCTGTTTCAATTCACTTCCAGCGAGATCCTTTTTGTTATGAAGGAGGTGTCGCTTGTGACAATGGAGGTGGGGATTTTTCAGAGAGCTGCCTGCTCTGTCCTGGAGATGGTGGCGTGCAAGATGAAACCATTTCACTGTGCAAGAATTTTAGTGTTGTCCTTCTGTCTTTGGGACTCCAAATGATGTGTTTCTTTAGAGCCTGTGTTTTTATGCTGAATTAGTGATATGTGAAATAAATGGGATCCTAATGGGGTTCTCCAAATGAATATACCCCTTGGGGGAGGGAGGGATTCCTGGGTCCTCTGTGGCAAACCCTAATCCTGTATCATCAGTCTCCTTAGGAACTGATGGGCTTTTAGGAAGAGGTGAGTGGCCTTCAAATGATTTCGCAGAAGAAATGAGAGGTCCAGAATGAGTCATAAGGAAAAAATATCTTGGCAGATGTGCTTGGAATGTTTTAAAGGCAAATTGAAAGATGTAATTGCTGTGAAAACAAAATATTATATTTAGAAAAACTTTTTCAGTAGATATTTTCATTTCTTTGTAAAGCATCAAAAGGGATGGGTCACACAGTCACAGATTCCTGAACTCAGAATTTGTTATATCGAAGAAACATTTTTCTCATTTTCTGAGATTCCAGGAGTTATTAACATGATGGTAGAAATCTTTTCTTTTTTCCTCATGTATATTTCCAGTCACATCAGGTGATCCTTTTGAGGCCCAGTATTGTTGAAAAAAAAATATCACATGCTTATATATATGAATGACCCTTCTGCAGCCTCCTCTGTTTTTGACTCTTCACTAAACTAAAGCCAATCACTTGAGTGGCTGTTTGGTACAGCTTTTGAAATACTAGAAGTTTTTTAGATCTGCTGTAGTTTATCTCCTTGGCATGTCCTTCCTGTATGAAAACAGCTGATTAATTTGTGTGTGTGCTTTTCCTGAGACATACCCATATATAATTCTCATAATTTAAAAACCAAGATTCTGATCCTCCAAAGAAATCCTCTTGTAACATATGTCTGCATCTTGTGAAAAAGAATGCCTTCTAGTTTGAATGGGTTGTGATTTCCTTCAGCACACTTAGATACTGGGGAATGTGGACAGGTAAGAGAAACCTCTGTGGAGACTGCATCCTGAGACCCAGAATCCTTCCTACGTCACTGCTTCACAAATAGAACTCTAGAACTTGAAGGTCAGATTTCCTCCTCTTCGCTGTTTGTCCTAGAGCACTAGCGAGCTGAAAACTCAGCAGTGACTTTGGGTCTACTTGGGGTCAGTTGCTATAATGATGTTAACATTTCTAAGTATCGTGTAGGGTTTCCGTTGTTTTAACAGCATTTGGGGGAATGTTTTTTGAAACATGTTGAAAAGTTAACATCACGAGTGATAATGTGTCCTCTCTGGTAAAGGACCAAACTTTACAAATTTTAGGTTAATGTCTCAGTAGACTAAAACAGTTTGTCAGATGGCATCAGCACAGACCTTTTTTCCGTTAGCCCAGTGGGGCCTAGTGGCTGTACCTGATCTGCCAGCTAAGAAATGAGTGTGTCCACATGCAAAAGGCCATATGAAATTCTTGGAGACAGAAAGGTTTCTAAGCTAGATAGCGTTAATTAACATTTCTTCTTTCAAAATACCAAAAGGCACTAATCCATACTATGGACTACTAACCTGCAAAATATCAATTAACAGAAATACTCTTCAGATTATAGGACTAGGGACAAAAAAGGTTAAGTAGCACTCAACAGTGCTTGAGGTTGCTTTTCAACTTGGGAAAAATTCATTTCTGCTCTTGCTGTTTGGAGGCTGCTAACATTTCTTCTGCATTTTGATTTTTTTGGTCTCAGAAGATTCATGTCCACTTTGAACTTTGTGAGCCAGGGTCTGTTGCTTCTGGTCATGCTCCTGGTGGTCTGCTAAGTTAACCCCCTTCCTTTGCATATCCACACACTGATATCTTTCAGTCGTTGTAGAAAACAAGCCGATACTGTTCCAGACGCTTGTGCTGCACAGCGCAGCATCTTTGGATGGCATGTCATGGGAAGAATGCAGACACCTTGGAGAGATGAAGTCTGGAGTTAGGAAACTGAAGAAGCCTTGGCCACATCCCCAAAGGAGGGAGGTGGCTGGTGTGGTGTTCAGGCTGGAGACAGCATGTCCCAGAGAGGCTTGGGGAGAGGAGGAAGCAGAGGTGTGGGCTCCCGTCTAGTGAAGTGCCTCTCCTCTCTGCATTCTGTTTCAACCCAGGTGGTAGATCTCATCATCCTGGGATTTCAAAGCCCTTACAGTTGACGAGGTGAAACTACAATTGTTCTGGACCCTTTAAGGAAGGAGGAAAAAAGACATTACTATTTTCAATGATACTTTCAATTTAAATACCGATTTCCATCTATTGTAAGGTGTTATAATTTCAGCCTCATTCCTTCCAGGTAAAAGCCCCTTGTTTCTCCTAATGGTTTTTCATTTGTATCCATTTGTCATTCAGTTAAGGTTTTGTGCCTTTAATTCTCATTATCAGGAATTGACCTGCTCAGGCGACCTTTGTCCCATGAAGGCAATGTTAGCAGAACCAGTGCCCCAGTTGGCCTTTTCAGCTTGGAAAGGCTTTGAGGACAGGCTTAGCGTTCTCATTGCCCACATCTGCTTGGGAAGAGTGGCGTCTGCCACCTGGCCACCAGGTTGGGGACATGTTTTGACCGCAGTCACTTATGAAACTAGTGATGGGAGGGTGGAGAGGAATTCTCAGATGTGTCCCACTGGAGGGAGGACAGATGTGGATTAAGTCAGAGTCCTTTGAACTGATTGGAATCCAGCACTCAGTGAGAAGTCTCTGACCCTCTGGTCAGCTACGTGGACAAGGCTTTGGAACTCCAGAAGCACACAGACTTGTCTGGCATCACTCAGCTGATAAAGAAGTGGGCTTGGAGTCTGGTCCAACTACCCAACACTCCCCATGATGTGTGTGTATGTGTGTGTGCCTGGGTTCACTAGACTGGCCTAGGGTTACAGTTCTTTCTGCATCGTTCAGCCTGTTCTGCTGGCTCTTAGTATGGACTTTAAGTCATTGAACATTTATTAAACACCTGTGTGCCAGGGCCTGGACTCTCCCTGGAGATAGAAAGGCAAAAAGCAGTCTGTGTATCCAAGAACTGCCCTTAGGGAAATGGTCCCCAAAGGCCCCAGATGTGTCTGTTTAGTTCAATGTTAAAATGTTCACAGGAGTATGCAGCCTTTGAGGGGGGCTGGCTTGAATGCTGGAATTTGCCCATGAGCTTTCTACTGAAATGTATTTAACTGCTCAGTGCTTAGGGAACAGTGCCCCAAAGTGTCTCCTTCCTCACCTCGTAACCTCGTCAGGACAGTCTCAGAAGGACACTCACTTACCTTAAGGCTTCTTAACTATTTGACTGTTGCTTTGTTTCCTGAAATAGAGAAAAGAGGGGAGAGTGAAACAAATTTGTTTTTAGAGTTTACCAATTCTAGATTGTGCTTTCCTAGGACAGTGAGCCTCATGAGTTGGGAGAAGAAGCCTGATACAAGAAAGCCAAGTTTTAGACTTTTCCCAAAATAGTTGGTACAAGTAGGCATGTTGATTTGTCCAGGACCCGTGTCCACTCCATGGTGGGCATGCTTGGAATGCACCACTAGGAGGGACCAGGACTGCACTTAAGGGCTTCGCAGATACTTTTCCATTCTGTGCAGAGCCGCTGGTCACCCAGCCAGGTGTCTGGCTGTCACTGGGGCGGGTCACTTTGGCTACAGCTTGTCAGGAAGCCGCCTGCTGGCTGCATCCCTCTAGCTCTTGCCACTAGCCCCCGCGTCTAGGCTGCTCGAGCCATCGGATGGGTTCTCGGCATCCTGTGCTAGTACCTGCTGGGGGTCTTCTTGGTAGCTGTGCCCTCGCAGCTCTCCTTGTAGCAGATGTCGGGATGGACTTTGTAGATTCTCTTGTACCTGCCGTTGAGAGAGAGGAGCGAGTCAGGGAGCCGGCACTGCCGAGGAGCTCTGGGCTGAGGGGCCCCGTCTGTTCTGCAGCTGCCCTTGGGGAGAACAGTTTAGATTTCAGGCCTTGAAGGCAGGGTCCTTGGTTCCCGAGCTTGCCTGATCCTCAGTTCATTCGGAGGCACCTGATGACTGAGTACAGTCAGTATGTTTGCTTGGAGCAACTTGGATTTGGTCTTGACTTTTCTGCTTGTTCTGTCATCTGGAGAAACTATGGAGGATTCCTTTAATTTGTTTTTTGTAATTAAGCTTACTGACCTGCCTGCCTTCCTCATATCTGCACTGCCAAAGTCTGGCAGGGCCAAGGCTGTCTGCATGTCGTCCTCCACTGGAGCCTGAGCTCTCTGAAGGCTGGGACAGCCTTTGCCTTTCCTTGTAGCCTCGTTGCTTAGCACAGGGCCTGGCACACAGTAAGAGCTTAATCTGTCAGGGCCGCTAGGTGGCGCAGTGGATAGAGCACCGGCCCTGGAGTCCGGAGGACCTGAGTTCAAATCTGGCCGCAGACACGTAATACTTCCTAGCTATGTGACTCTGGGCAAGTCACTTAACCCCAATTGCCTCACTTAAAAAAAAAAAGCTTAATCTGTACTTGTTGGCTGACTGACTCCATGTTTTTAACATGATGCTCCTTTCGGCTGGATGTCAGCCCGAGATAGAAGGGACACCTGTCCGTCAGGCTGGTTTGGGTGGCATCCTGCCTGCCCACGGTCATAGGAGCCTAGATCTAAGTCTGGCAGGGACCTTGGAGGTCATCTGCTTCTAGCCCCTCATTTCACCAAGACCTACAGAGGGGAGATGACTTGTCCAAGGTCATGCAGGTAGAACCAGGATTTGAACTCAGACCCTGTGATTTCAAGTTCTACACAGGGTGGGCTCAGAAAAAAGGAGCAGAGGCCTGAGAATTGAGGGGCCTAGGTTTCAGTGCTGACTTTGCTATTGTTCATTAGCCGTGTGACTGTGGTCAAGTCAACCTTATTGTAGAGAGAATTACAGACTTTTAGAGCTGGAAGATGATCTTGAAAAGTTACCTAGTCCAATTTGTCCCATTTTACAGATGGGGAAACTGAGGTCAAGAGAGATGGCATGACTTGCCCCCAGCCATACGGGTATTGCAGAGCCCACTGATTCCAGAGCCCCCTAGGGGCCCACAGTTTCTTGTGACTATTTCCTCATTTGCCCGTAGCAGTGAGAGATTGCCCATGAGGGGCTTTGGAAAGTTGAGAGGGCGAGGTCGACTTACACATAGTGGCAGACTCCTCCTTCCCAGACAGGAAATGACTTGGTCTCTGAGTACAGCCGTGTACAAGGATGCGGCACCTTCTTACATGCTGTCCAAGGAGAAAGAAAGACGTGGGCTCAGCGAGGAGTCTGTCTCCAGGCTCCTACCCCCCTCCCACAAGGGCACTCAGCAGTGGAGTCCCCTGCTCCTCTGCTGGCTTCTGTGCAGGCAGGCAGTGTCCCCCAGGCACCTCGAGCCTTGTGGGGCTGCCACAGGGCGGGCTGTGCTCAGGACAACGGATGGGGCTAGTTTCATGTCAAGTTTGCAGCCTATGGCCTCCAAGGCCAGCCTCCGTGGGCTTTGGTCTTGGAGTGGGCACCAGCCCTCATTGGGGGGGCTTCTGGAACACACTTCTTATCTCCTCAAATGATGCCCAGGCACTCTTGCTTTTCTGTGAGCCTTCTTTGGTCCCTGTCCTTAGGAAAAGCTAGTCAAACCATGTCTACGTGCCCTTCTCACCCCTCTGGTGTGAGGGGTCATCATTGGATGCCCTTCTGGGGGCATTGTAGAGGGCTTGCTGCCAGGCCTCATGCAGAGTGGAACGCCGTGGACGGTCCCCTTTTTCTCCACCCCCTTGCCCCCCGACTCTTATTTTTGGCCCAGGAAGACCATAGAGCTGGGCCTCAGATTGGGAACCCTTCTTTTTTTCCCTCCCTACCTTAGGTATGATTGGGAGAAGTGAGTTTCCCCCACTAGTGTTTTTCAGCCCTATGCTGGTCCTGCCAAAGGCAGAGTGCAACCTCTTGGGGCATGCTTCCAAGAGACCTGACGGGTCCTGGCTCAGGCTGGGAGGAGAAGCTGGACTCCTGACTTACAGAGTTCACAGTGTCTGCCTTTGAATCCAAGGCCGCAGTCACAGCTGTAGGAGTCTGTCCCACTCACACATGTGCCGCCATTTTGGCAGGGGTTTATGGAGCAGTTCCTGTGGTCATCTGGAAACCAAAGTGCCACAAATCGTTAACCTTCCAGCCCCTGTCCTGGCATATCAGGATGGCAGAACATGCCTTTTGGCTCCTGGATTCTGCCTGCCGTTGAGGCCATGTTAGCTTGTAGAACAGGCTAAAGGCATGAGGGGGGAAAGCAAAATAAAGGTGAGAAGGAGGGGTGTTGGCCTTCTGCACCATGTTTTTCTGGGATGCTTTTCAGAATGGGGTGCGATAAGAGGAGGAAGAGAGCACGGACCATCTCCCCAGGGGCCCTCTGTCTGTCCAAGCTCATGTGGAATGCTGGTCCAGTGGAGGATGCTGGGAAGGCCAGCCACCCTGCAAGGGAGGAGACAGCCTGACTTGGAAAATACACCCCTTGGATCTTGGCAGAACCAAAGGCATACTTCCACCAGGAGTTTCCATCCTTGTTTGCCAAATGCAGAGAAAGGCAATAAAAGAGGCAGTCTTGCAGAGGGAAGATAAAATTCACTGACACCAACATCCTGTGGGATACATGTGCTTAGCTGGTTTCTACCATCACTCCTTTGCTTTTCCCTGCCACCTTTCCAGCCAAGACTGTCATTTCTCTACTCCTCTGTTTCTCTATCCTTTCTGCTCTTTCATGACTCTGGTACCTTTACCCTCTTTTCCTTTTCCACAGGAAGCTAGTAATAATAATAATGATAATAACAATAATAATAATCCTGCTGTACTCTGTGTGGTTGGGTCAAGTTCCTAAAGCCCTGAACAACTCTTTAAGACTGTATATAAAAAGTGAGCTTCTGACCCAAACCATTGTGGTGAAAAACAGCCTGGGATTGTGGGCAGTGATGGCCTTGGGAGTCAGGGAGCCCTGGGTTCAGATTCTGGTGCATCTCCCTCCTGTCAGAGAGACACTGAGCAGCTCTCTAAGACTGTGGGTTACCTCTTCTGGTAGAGATTATTCTTCACCAGGGAGTCTCCATGCCAGTGAAATCACGTCTGGTTTAAAAAAAATGTTTGCAAAGAGCTTCCTTCCCACCAACGTTGTGATGTGGGCAGGTAAGTAATATTCTGATACCAAAGAGCTGGAAATGACCTTCAGGGCATGCTTAGTCAAACATGAGTTGGGCTAGATGGTTGCTCAGGTTCTGTCCAGCTCTGGGCTTCTAAGAACTGAGAGACATCAAGCCCTAGCTGCTAGTTTTGCCAGGGAAGAAACGGAGGTTCTGTGACTTGCTCAGGGTCGTATACGCTGTAAGTATTGTTGGAAGCAGGATTTGAACCTGGATTTTTCTGATTCTCAGTCCAGTACCCTGTCTCCTATCTCATGCTGCCCTGTGAACTCATGAAAGTGGATGTGCCCTCCAGAAGTGCTGCTAGGAACCCGCCCATGTCAGTCTTCCTCCCGAGACTGCTTGAATGACTTGCCTAAAGTCACAGCCAGCAAGTATCAGGGTTGAGCTGCAAACCGCCCTTTCCCTGAAGTTCAGGGCTCTTTCAGCTAGTTAGTGACAGAGCTGGGGAGAGAACCCAGGTGGCCTGAAGTTCAGGGCTGCTTCTGCCCTACCATGGAGAGAGGGGGCAGGGGCTGGGTGTATGATTTCATTGGCCTAGGGGATTCCCAGGGGAGGAGATTGCCTCTGCCAATCAGAAGCATTGATTAAGCACTTTTCATGCCAGGCACTGAGCTAAGCAATGCAGGTCATCACCTTCTCTGCAATTGGTAGACTCAGAAGGTTGCCAGGGCCACACGGCTGGGTGTATGTGACTCCAAGGTTTCCTGCCTTTTGAGTCTGGCTCTCTGGGACTCTGTGCTAGAGTTCCATTATATTTTTTATATGGCTTTTGAATGTGATAGAGTCCAGCCCTCTGCTTCTACTATCTGGTGGGATCTTACTATGTTTGTTTTGTTTCTACTTCTCCAGTACTCTCCAAATCTGCAAATTGAAAGTTTTTTTCTTACCTTGTCTATTTTTACTTTTTACTGGTATAGACATGACGCTATCAAATATTTGTTTTTTGCTTTCACCTGGGGCCTCAGGAGATTGGTGGATCTGACCCTCTCTACTTAGGATGTTGCTGCTGAGGTCAGAGATTGCAGTCGTCTGGCTACTGCCTACCCGCTCATCTCTCTTAGCCCAGTTTCCAAGGCAGGCCTTCCACCTCAGAAGCTCATTTCCCCTTGCTCTTCCCAAAAACATCCCCAGAGGGTTTATTTGCTTTTGCCCATAACAAAGACCAGAGCCCGGTTTAGGTATAATCCTCCCCATGAGGATTCAGGAAAGGGCTTCACCACCGTGCACTGATGACAAGCTTACTCTGTGTCGGGCACTGCGCTGATCACGGATTTCCTGTTATCCTGTGTCCCTAGGTAGTGCCTTTGCTTGTATCACAAGAGCTAGAAGTAGAGTTCAGATGCAAATAATGAAGTGCCCCGGGCACTTCTGATCCCACAGCTGAGAGCTTCACTCTCTTGGCTCAGAGTGAGTGAATTGCCTTTCCTCTTTTTTCTGTGATTCGTGAAATAAAAGACCAAAAAAAGGACACTTGAAAAAATAAAATGAAAGGGCCATGCATCAGACAGAACACAGGGTGAATGTTCATTTTACTTCACTTATAAAGGCGTATGTGCAAGTGTGTCCTCACCACTGCCCTTTAAAGAAGGCAGCCCCTTCTGTGTACCTCCCTCTCCTAATGGATATAAAAGTGTGAATTAAAGTACCCTGGGGAAGCTGAGTTCTGGCCCAGGAGGCCACTGGAGAGGGCGTGGTCAATTTCAGCATACCTCAGTATGGGCATCTACAGAGATCTCTCCTTAGTGAGTAGGGTCGCTGAAGCTGTTCCCTCTTCCTTTCTGAAGCTTGGGACATCCGGGCTCCACGGTAGAGGAGGCCTGTAAACCACTTAATCTTTCGATGTCAGTGCCTCCTGAGCTGTCCCAGGAGACAAGTCCCTCCTAGTAGGTCTTTTTTTTTTTTCCCCCTCTGCTTTTGCTCCTGCTTTATGGATTGCTTTGCTTTTACATTCTTTGCTGTCCTGCACTTTTCCTCTCTCCCTCTTCTATAGGGCTTTCCTCTGACTCCAGGCTCATTTGACATATTCAGAGTGAACCAAGCATAGGAAGAGCCAGACTTAGGTGAGGCTCTCCCACGTAGACAGAAGCAGGCAGGTGATTCACCCAGCGAAGTGCCAGGAGAGGGCTTTGGGCTTTCTGGCCTTCTCCACCTGGGGGAAGCCTGTCCACATGATGAAGGATAGGCAGAGCTCCTGTCTGGTGCTGGGATCAAGACTGCAAACCCTCTTTTCTGACTTACCTTCTTCCTCTTTGTTGCTTTCGGGTTCAGGCAGCTGGAGTGCCAGGCTGATCCGGTCGGCAGATTCTTCCGTGTTCTCCAGTTTTACTGGGGTCTCTGGTTCTGGGATGTTGTGGAAAAGCATAAAGGTCCAGGTTACAAAATGGTAGCTACTCCATTGGGGTTTAAGCCCGTGATCTACTTTTCTCTTGTTCTGTCTTTACTTCCACATGGGGTAGACTTCCACCTCCCTTTAGAATATCTGGCTGGGGGTAGAATGTGAGCTCCTGAGGGCAGTGACTGTTTCGTCTTTGTCTTTGGATCCACGATGCCCAGCATACAGCAGGCGCTTACTGATTGATTGGTGCAGAGTTGTTAAGCTCGTGCAGGACCTAAGTGGTCGTCTTGGGCTGTGTGAATATATTTTAATTGGGCCTTGTTTTTCACTATCACCTCATAGACCACACTCTCAGAAGAACTGTGTATGTGTTTATGTGTGTATGTATGTGGAATGTGTGTGTGTGTGCGCGGTGGAGGGGGAGTGAGTGCAACCCAACACCCACGTTTACCAGATGCCTACACAGGCAGTGGGGATAGGGAGAGATGCCAAGTGGAGACAGGACGTGATTTATGCCTTCTTGGAGCTTATGGTCTAGTAAGGAGTATTTGACACTCAGATACATAATTTATATGTGTCATTATGTATGCATGTGCACTAGTGATTTTAAAATATGTTACATGAATTAAAGAGAAAAGGTAGGGGGAGGGGAGAGAGGCTCAAAGATGCTTCATGGAACTCTCGAGCTGGAAAGGACAGTACAGGAATCATCCAGTCCAGAGGGTCAGACTAGGAGGCCTGCCACAAGGAGCAAAACTCCAGAGTAATTTGGAAATGTTTAACAAAATAAATACAAATAGAATACAACCTAGTCAGTGTGCTGCCCATGGGAATCTGTTTCAATTTGAGTTTGACACCATTGACCTTTGAAAGGCAGGGACCAAAGCCCAGTGTGGAGAAGGGAGTGCCTTCCAAGATGGCAGACAGGCTGTGCCTGTGGGTGGAGAGGTAGGACTCTAGTGTGGCTGCAGCCGACTAAGGAGCTGTGTTTAATCCTGGAGGCCCTGGGGAGGCGCTGCAGGGTTTAAACAGGAAGGACCTGGTCAGATGGTGCCCTGTGCTCCTGCACAGCCCTGGGTGGCTCCAGGTGGGCAGAGGCATGAGTCACCTGTGTTGTGAACCAGCTCCAGTGCCCTGAGCAGGGAGGCCCCTGTGACTCATTCCACCCTGAGACTTGAGACCCAGGAGCGAACAGTCGGGTACTTACGGGATCTCAGGGCGACCGCTTCACTCGGGACACCTCCGAATTTGGCGCTGATCCTTCCTCTGCCATCCACCAGCTCAGTGAACCTGACAAAGAGGGGCCGAGAAGAACCTGCATCAAGACCGTAAAGGGCAGCTAGGGGATGGCGCAGTGTGCAGAGTGCCAGGCCTGGAGTCAGGAAGACTCGTCTTCCTGAGTTCAAATCTGGCTTCAGATTTACTCACTAGCTGTGTGACCCTGAGCAAGTCACTTAACCTGTCTGCCTCAGTTTCCTCATCTGTCAAATGAGCTGCAGAAGAAGATGGCAAACCACTCCAGGATCTCCGCCAAGAAAACCCCAGATGGGGTCACGAAGAGTCGGACGCAGCTGAAAGGACTTGATAACAATAACAAAGATTGTAAAAGCGTCCCAGTGCACGAACGAGTCTGGAGGACGGACGGGGGCATCCCGTGAGTCTTTCGCTGCTCTCCGGGCCCCTGCCTGTGGAAATGTGCTTTCTCTGCCATGCCGCCCACAGCGGCTCCTTCACCCTGGAAGGGCACTCTGCCCCTGCATCTCCTTCTTCTGATTGGTTGGTTCCTCCCAGAAACTCCAGGCCAGCCGTCCCTTCCTGGTTCTCTGTCAGCCCGGCAGCCTCATCAGCTTCCTCTTATTTAGCATGGAAACTCCTTGAGGCAGGGCCTGCCTTTCTGCTTGCACTTATGTTTCCAGGGGTGAGCGCAGTGTCTGGCACAGAGTAATCCCTTGATAAATGCCTATTGCCTTCTCTGCAGTGGAACGGAAGGAGTCCAAAGTGACGTGGACAGATTTGTGATCTCCCAGCCGTCCTTAAGCACATGCATGTGCATACATGTATACGTGCAAGCACATGTACATATGTGAAATGCCCAACTTTGGGAGCACCGCTGGCTTCTTTCTGTTCACTCCCATCTTACTTAAGTTTTCTGTCTCAGAAGTTTGAGTCCCAGGAACCCCAGCACTTTTGGCAAAAACTTTCAGGAAGAAGTTTAGACTTTCTAGGATTTCTCAGTGTGGCTTACAACTAGTATCAGAGAAAGTAGAGAATACTGCACCCACATGGAGAAGCTGTCTTCAGGGTTCCAGTGGAAAAGTCCGACTTTTCCCACGAACTCACCATATGGCCCTAGGCAGGTGGGTCCCTTCTCTGGTCCACTTTTGTTTCCTGTTTTATTAAATCAGGCTTAATGATCTTTAAGGTGCTGCCTCAATATCCTTCTTTGAATATTCAGAGGAAAGTGTATTAAGGTCAGGGTCTCAGAAATAGGAAATGATCCTGCTGGGGGGAGGGGCAGTGTTGTCTGTGATCAGAGCCACTTGAGGCCTCCTCTCTCTCTCTCTCTCTCACCGGCTCCCCCCCCCCCCCCCCCCCGTCTCTCCCCAAAAGCCCTTTAACAATTGCCTTTCTCCTACAGTACTGCTACAGTGAAGTTTAATTAGCTGCTTAGCACATCCAGTTCATATTACTGCTGTCTTCAGAGAGTGCAAGGAGTCAAGCTTATACTCCTCGCTGGCTGAAAAGCAAGAGAGGAGGAATGGAATAATATCATCTTGTGTTTCTGTCTCCTGTTATGGTTTGCAAAGAGCTTTGCAGACATCTCAGTAGGTCCTTACAACAGTCTCATTTCAAAGGTGAGGAAAAAGGCTTTAAACCCAAGCCTCGTGACCTCAAATTCTGTATTCTAGGTTAGAAATCCTGTTGGTTTTCAAAAGACACATGTCACAGTTGGAGTGGGTGACATTCTCCACTGCAAAACTAGGACCTGGTTTGTAGAAGGGTAGTGCTCCTTGCAGGGTCTCTTCAACTGATCAGGAGAAAACATGGTGGCAAGAAGCTATAAAATCACCATCGGTCTAGCTAGAGGTAAAAAATAGCAACAAAGACATTGGCTGCCAAAAGCTTTAGGAGAATAGGGGGCTGAGCAAAACAGAGGAAAGGACTCCAGAAATTCTCTTTCCCCAGTGTGGTCTGCTTGACCAAACTCAGAAGTCTCATTCCTACCCTTTGAGACATGTTGGACGTGACCAGTCTTAATCCTAAGCATCTGTCAGGGGCAGCTGGATGGTGTACTGGATAAATCACTGGACTTGGAGGCAGGAAGATCTGAGTTCAGATCCTGTTTCAAACACTCACTAGCTGTGTGACCCTGGGCAACTCAACCTCTCTCAGACTCAGTTTCCTTATATGTAAAATGAGGATAATAGTAACACCTATCTCACAGAGTTGCTGTGAGGAATAAATGAAACACCATATGTAAAGTGCTTTGCAAACCTTAAAGCACTATGTAAATTCAGGCTATTATTATTATTGTAAGGTGAATGTATCTGTGACCCAATGCTATCACCACAAGGGATGGAGACCATTTCTGAACTGGTTCATTTGCAAACCCCTCAGAGATGAAGTATTTTCCAGCTGTATTTATGTGGGAAGTCTTAGCTGTAGGTCTTGTGGGCTTGGGGGAGGTGTTAATCGTACCTGGGGGGCTGGGATGGTTCTTCTGAAACCTCACGGTCAGCCAGCAGCCGAAGATCAGGCAGAAAGGATGGGGGCACTCTGTTCCTCAGCACCCTGGGGTGCCCTCCTTGGCTCCATCTTCTGTCAGAAGAGGCATCCCTCTGTGCTGCGGAGAAGGGGAGCAGAAAGAAGCCCTGACTCGTGGGCTCCATGATGCCGACCCCTCCCACCCCTCGCACTTTCCAGCCCCCGGCATAGGGACGGCCCTGGCCTTAGGATGGAGACAAGGGGGCGCCTGGTGGGGACAGTCCATTGCTCTGCTCACAGGTAGTGGAGCCACATCTGGCAGAATCTGTTCTATGGGTTAGGCCTCAGATCCTCCTCAAAAGCAGCTCCCTAAAGCTTCTGCCACCAGCCTCCTCTTCCTGTTCTTGCTTCATGGGTGGGGCTTTCCTTTGGTCACGTGTTAACCACCAGGTGTTAGCACTGTTGCCTTATCATTATGTGATTCTGGTCCCCCTACTCTGTAATGTCTTCAGGTTAATGTGATTGTTCTCTTTTATCAACCCTGATTTCAGTTTTTCATCATTGTTTTTCTTTCTTCTTTTAACATAGATTTTATTGATATCTATTTTTTATGTCCCCTAAATTTTCTCCTGTATTACTCCCCCTCCCCCTTCTTAGAGTACCATCTACTTTCATAAAGAATTTTGAAAATAAAAAAGAAAACTCTACAAAGAGCTTCATTTTCCAAATCAGATTAAATATGATTTCTAGATCTCTTGGCATTGTACGCACAGGTTGTCCATTGGTTTTCTCTCATTTCTCTATGTGTCTAGGGCATCTCCTTTTCTGATGATACCCTCATCTCCTGCACAGTTCTTCATTGGTAATATGTTGTAGGCTGCTCACATCCACCATCTGCCTGCCTGTCCCTTTCTTCTACCAAAGATACAGGCCTAAAGAACCATCAGGTGTTCACCCTACTTCTTTATTACTCAGTTTGCCCTGGATCAGTTGTTCACATTTACACATTATTGTCAGGGTCCCCTGGAGAGTAGGATGGGGCTCAGGCGTTCTTGAGGACGTGGCCATGACTTTCTTGTGACACAGTCATCACTGCCCAAGCTCTTGGTTGGGGGCTGGGCTTCAAGACCTCTAGCAACTCGCAGATCAGCCTATTATGAGAGTCTCCCATGAGATGCATACGTGCCAGGGGAGCACAAACATAGACATTTGGAGAGAATTACTCTATAACCAGGCCCCCCCAGATGTTGCTGTTCTGCCACAGGTAACTCTCATCTAGCTGTCTTGTTATTCCTCTCGACAACATAGTCAGCTCTGCCATGTGAAGGCCTGTTCTGGATGCAGGCATTCCGAGGATGGGCAGGTATACTGGTGCCCTGCCAGGGTTAGTGGTAACAAGCACTGCCTTCGTGTCTGGCAGACCTGTTGCCCAGCCTTCTCAAGGGTACTAACAACCGTGCCATAAATATCCTGAAGTTTACTCTGGTCTGCTCTAGATTCCTGGTCAGACTGGGAATACACTTAAAGGCCAAATTCCATGCCTTTTGTTTGTTTTGTATCCCCCCAGCACTTGGCACCATGATTTGGCACACAGTAGGTCTTCTGGCTGAATGGGGGGAGTCTGCACTCTGTAACTTTTGGGACACAGAAGAGAGGTAGCAGGCATGTTTGTCACCCCTGGTAACTCAGCCTGGAGGCTTGGCCTCATGGGAATTTGCTCAGCGTGGTTTCTGCAAAGTGTCAGGCCCTGCCTTACTCAGCTAGTTAAGATACTTTGTGATAGCTGTGATTTACAGCGGCCCTCATTGTGAGATTGTCTGAACGGCATTTTGTGTGCTAGGCTTAGTCAGTAGATACTAGGAAACTCTTGGTAGAGAGGAGGCCCCTTTCCCCAGGGGCATCTGTTCCCTACAGTCAGGGTTTCAAGGCATTTGGCACGGAAGACGGTTCAGAACTTACAGGTCATAATGTATAGATGGGCAGGGTCGCTGTGCATTTGCCCTTGCTCTGTGTTCTGTACCGCAGTCACTGAGAGTCGATACCTTTGACCTGGCTGCAGGTCGCGCATGGTGTAGGAGGTCAGCTTCCCGTTGGGCACATAGCGGCTCTTCACGCTCTGGCTTGTGGTCACGTTGATGATGTAACCCTCCACAGAAGCCCCTGGAGGTGGCTGCTCCCACACCATGTGGGCAGAAGTAGCTGTGACTCTTGAAGCTGTCAGGTTTCTGGGTGAGAGAGGACCTGCCAGAGGCATTGGGGTGGTAGAAAGGGAAGAAGAAAAACTGTCATCACTGAAGGAGTAGCTGGCATTTATACAGCGGCTTAAGGTTTGCAGAGCGTTTCATGAACATTAACTCATTGGATCTTCATAACAACCCTGGGAGGTAGGATTATCCCTATTTTACAGTTGAGGAAACTGAGGCAAACAAGGTGAAGTGACTTGCCCAGGGTCACACAGCTAGTAAGTATCCGAGGCCAAATTTGAACTCAGATCTTCTTGAATTCAGTGCTCTATTCCCTGCTGGGATTTCTTTTGGTAGGGATGAAACAATTTTCTTGAACACTAGGCTTTTCTCACTTTTGCCATTCTTGAAGCTAGAGGTGGTCGATCCCAGCCCCTCTTCCCTATGGCTGGTAACCAGTTACCACCCTCCCCCCCACCCCCATCCCTCCCTGCTCTGCCACGGGCAGGATCAGCCTTCCATGACCTCAGGAGCCTTCCAGACCAACCAGCTCTCTTCACGGATGAGGAAACTGAGGTCCAGAGCAGGAAGCACTATCTCCTCTTCTGGCTCCCTGGGCTCCTCTGGACTGAACTGGCCACAGGCCAGCACTTATCTCCTCCAGGGACAGAAGACCACAGGAAGTTATGTTTCCACAGTGTTAGACCCTCCCGGGACACAGAGCTTAGAGCTGGAGCTAGGAGTGGGCCATCAGCTAGGGGGAATCCATAGGCAGGGGCACTACGGGGGACACTTCTCATAGTACTTCATACTATGTGTATGTGTATGTATTTAGACCTATACCTATATGTATGTATTTGTATATATACACATACATATGTATGTTTGTACATAGATATGTATATTCCACTCTTCCTGTCACATGGGTCTTTCTTTGTGATAAGTCAAGTCATAGGTGTTACAGAAAAGACTCTGAGCCACTAAGTGATGGGGACCCAAGGTTCCTTTTCTCCTGCAGCAGTGGCATTCTCTGGGACTAGAATGTGCCCATCCAGGGGGTGAATGAAGGTGTGAAAGGCTCCAGGCTCTTGCAGAGAGGTCAGAGCAGCCAAGACAAGGGGAGGAAGATCTGATCCTAAACCCACTGTATCATACTCACGAGTCCACACGTGGAAGGGTGCAGTGGCCAGGCTCTCTGAGGGATGGTCTTCTGTGCCCAGCCCACTGAGGGTGGCCACATGAATAATGTACCTCTCTCCTGGCAGCAGATCCCTGAGAAAAGGGGGAGAGAGGATGAGCAGAGTGGCTGGTCTGCATTTTCATTTTGTGGATTTTCTTTAATCGTTTCTTTATGCTTTTCCTGTCTCTCTCCCCTGTTGAGACTGGGATGCCCCTCAAAGACGGGGACTGTTTCATTGCTTTTGTATCCCCAGAGCCTGGAGGACACATTAGGGTGATGGTGTGACTATTGAACACAATCAGGGCAAATTTAGAACTCTAGTGGGTAAAATGAGGCAAAGGATTCACTCCAGTCTTCCCCAGGCCAAAGTATGGACGTCTTGCCCTGTGATACAAATTCATATCGATAAAGGACTTTGTAAAGCAAGTGGTAGCCAACGTAGGGGACCCATTCATCCCCGTTGTGGTCTCACCAGAATGTGTACTTGTCAGTGGTACTGTCCAGCTCCACAACATGGTCCTCTTGATCCCTGAGGCGGCGGATAGACACGCGCACTTTGTTGACAGTAGAGTGCTTGACCTTGTGGAGGGCCCATTGGACTGCGATCGACGAGGCTGTCACATTGGTGATCTCAAAGCCCTCCACAGGCCGAGGCCCTGGTGGGATGAAGGAGCCACTGGTCAGTCACAGGCATCTGTTAACGTGAGATGCCCAGGACTCTGGGTCAGGGCCTTGCAGAAGAAAGTTCTTAATGAATGTTTTCTGGATTGAATTGAATGTAGTACTAGAACATTAAATCCGTGGTGAGTGAGGGGAGGGCTTAGCAATTGGCTTGAGTTAAAGGGGTAACAGAGGAAGAACCACCAGGACAAAGGCCCAGTTGTTGGGAGCAGAAGACATTCCATTTGCTGCAGCCAGATGAGTACAGTCCATTCCTGGTTACCCACGCCAACCCCAGAGTCATAGATCTCAATGCTAAAAGGACCCCCCCACCCCAGCTGAGACAGCCTGACACAGCTTCCTGTCCACAGGTAAGTCAGGTGCTTTCCTCATTTTATAGATGAGGCAGCTAGGGCCTACCAGGTCACCTGACTTGTCTAAGGTGACATTGAAAATGCGAAGTGGATGAGACCAGCAGAGAGGGCTTCGGAGACATTTCTGCCGGCAGTAGAATGTAAGGCCCTCAAGGGCAGAGGCTTTCTTTCTTTCTCTTTAGATTCACACCATGCAAGACAGTGCTGGCACAAAACCAGAGCTTAATAAGTGCTGTTGAATTGAATTGGCTTTGGGACGTGTTACAGTTTTTATAGGATCCTAGATTTCGAGCTGGCAGGAGTTAGAGAGAGTTCAGCCCCCAGCACAGGCTGCTTCCTGCAGTCCCCTAAAATTTGAGGGGTGTTGACACCTACAGTGGAGGCTTTCAGTCTCTGTCTCTGGATAAAACGGATATATATATATATATATATATGTACACACACACACATATAAAAAATATATGAATATGTGAATATAAAATATATGAATATAAATACATAAATATATTTATATAAATATAAATATATACAAATATATAACTATATATACAACAGATATAAAAGCTGACAGCACAAACGAAGCATGCCTGCAGATGTAAAGGAGGAGCCCAGGTGCTTTAGAGAGGCAGATGGCCTCTGGAGGAGCAAGTGTTTGCAGCAGACCTTCTGGCAGCTGCTGGAAGGAAGCTTCTGATGCGCAAGGGAAGACTGGAGCCACAGTGTCGGAGCAGCGCATGGCTGTCCCATTGCCAGTGACGCCCTCCCTTTGGACTGTACAGATCTGGCACGGACAGTTAGGTGCATGTTGTCTCCCCACTTAGAAGGTGATCTCCTGGAGGGCTGGGGCCGTGCTTAGCACAATGCCTGACACATAGGAGGTGCTTAATAAATGCTTGTTAACTGACTTCTAATCTGGTACAACGTTAGGCATTATTCCTGGAAATAGACCATCTAGAAGATAATAGACAGTAGTGAGTGTCCCTGTGGTTCACACTGTCAGACTATAGCTGGGCACAGTGTTTTCTGAGGGCTACTGATGGACTCTAGAATGTCTGGAGGAGGGCCCAGGCTGGTTGAAGGACTGGGGATACTCTGTCCTTAGAAGGAGACGGGAGAGTTGTCTGATACTTGAAGGGATGCTACGTGGGAAATGGATTGGACGCTTGTAGAGCTAGAGAACAGAACAAGGCCCAGTGGAAAGAAGGAGAAGAGGGGCAAATGTGGGCTTGATATTGGGGGGAAACAATAAGAAAATTCCCCCCACTGACAGCTGGCGCAGAGTGGAACAGTAGCTTCCCTGCCACAGGGGTCTGATGCCCACTAGCTGGGGAGGTCTTGGAGGGGATCTTTGCAGAGGAAGGGGTGGGACTAGCTGGCCTTTGGTCAGAGGTGCCACCCAGCTCTCTGATCTCTGACCCTCAGAGCCCCCACGGCCCCACATGTGGACTCACGAGTGCGGGTGATGAGCACCACAGGTCTGCTGATATCATTTTGTTGTTCACGTTGCGTTTGACTGAGAAGACGGAGATGTTGTAGGCTTTGCCCGAGGCCAGGGCCCGCAGCTGGTGGGCAGAGTGGCTGCGATCCACAAAATCGGTCCGGCGGTAGGAGCCGTCGAAGGAGGCGTAGGTCACCGCGTACCCATCAATCATCTGCTTGGCTGCTTGGTCTCCGGGGGACGCCAGGAGATGGAGACACCGCTGTCCTCCACCCTTTCCACCTTGAGCGTTGTGGGTGGCAGCAGCTCTGGAGGGTTTCGGCAAGGCCACGAGCAAAGAGAAGAGGGTAAAGCAGCATGAGAAAGACCTGTGGCCCGCCCCACTGCCACTCATGTCGGGGGCCGTGGGACAGGAAACAGGAGGAGGGAGGAGATGCCAGCTGGCGAGGCACTGGGCTGGGGGGACCTGGAGGCTTTGGTTGCTCAGAGCGTCTTGGTGGGATCAGGAAGGGATGGGAAGCCTGTGAGGCCAGTTAGTTGGGAGAGAGCCTATGCATTCTTCCATGATAACCAGGTTTGGAGCAGAAGTAAGAGAGGAATGTCTGGGACAGTCTCACATGATGGAAGTGTCTGTGTGTTACTGTTTGATGGGTATTGAGGTCCCCTTTGGCATTTCCACTCTCCCTCTGGGTTTTGAAGGATAGGGGTCCATGTGCTTCTCCTTCCCACCAGCCCCTGGGAAGCCCCCCACAGGCCGATCTTGCCTGTCTCCCTTTCTAGACACAGGCTTGCTCTGGACACTTGTCCCTCAGAAGCTGGGCTGAGTCTCAGCCCATCTGCCTCCTCAGGGGCCAGCGCCTCCCACAAAAACAACCTTTCATTTATTTTGTGTCTATGTATTTGTATAGACTGTCTTCCCATAGGGTGCTAGCTCCTGGAGGATGTGGCCTCTCCCATCGTGTCTTTGTAAGCCAAGCATCTACAGCAGTGCCAGGCGTACAGTAGGTGTTGAATAAATGCTTGTTGAATTGAAAGACCACCGTGGTGGCATTGGACTGGGGAGGATGGGGATGACTTCCTTAGGGAAGCTATCCCTTGCTCTAATATTTGGTTTCCTGAGCCAAAGGAGCTCTCAAGACTACAGGTTCTACCAGGACTCTTCTAAGAAGAGAGACTTGAAAGGTCCCTCTGGTTTTGGAGATCTCATCTCTCAGCGGTGTCTGGGGCCCCCACCTGCCTCACAGGGTTCCCCCCCATCCCTCTCCGACCAAGGCTGACCCCACAGACCAAGAATCCTTGGCTTGGGGCGTGGTCCCTCCCCCATGTGGGTGGTGCTCCAGCCTAGGCACGCCCTCTCCCATTTACCTTTGGCGCAGTTTCTGCCGGTATAGCCCACTTTGCAGGTGCAGCTGTGGGACCCGTTGCTGGAGAGACAGTAACCTCGGCCTCCACAGGGGTTGGAGAAACATGGATCGCTTGCTGAATGAGAAAGGCAGATGAGATTGAGGGGTAACTCTTGATTTTGCCCTGGTACTCCAGGTTCCTGAAGCCCACAGCCCCATTTAATGCCATCCTTCCATTCTGCTACCCTCCCCTGCAGCTGGGTCAGCAGTGACTGCATTCATCCTGTGGCACTTGATAAATGATGTAAGGCCACTTTCTCCTGTGGTAATCTCGTCTGATCTCAACGACTCAAGAGAGGAGAGAAGCGTGGCAGGTAGCATTGGCTCCATTATTTTTTTTTAAATACATAAGGAAATTGGTTAAGGCACTGGACTAGGGTCACCCAGTCAGTCAGTGGCAGCTAGGACAAGAACCCAGGCCTTCTGACTCCCAGCTTAGCACTTCTGACAACCCCAGGCTTCCTCTCAAAGTCAACTGCAAGTCAGAGGATCCGGGGATTTGGGCCTGAGAGTTGGGAAGTCCTATGGTCCAACATTTTCATTTTACAGATGAAGAAACTGAGGCTGGAGAAGGGAACAAGGTCAGAGTCACGCAGCTAGGAAATGGCAGAGCCAGGATTTGGTCTCTGATCTTTGGGCTTCAAATTGAGGCCTTCTTTTGGGCCCGGGCTGTAGCTGGCAATGGGTCCTGGCTGTCTTGGACCTCGTGGGCAGGCGGGGGAATCCTGTGGACCCTTTCTCAGAATCACGTTTTTAAAAGCATAAAGTAAAATACATGGGAGTACAACAGAAATCAAATGTATCACAATATGGTTATTAAAACATTAAAAAACAAAGTTCATGAGCTGCAGATCTGTGTACTGCATGCAGGCCTGATGGTTACTAAGACACTGCACAGATATGGATGGAGGAGGGGTGTCTGGTAGCTGGCTTGCCTGGGGGCAATGTCTGGGCCCCCCTGCGTGGCCCAGGGCCGCATTGCTTTTCTGCTGGGGTTGTGCTGAAACAGAATGTAGCTGTGGGGGCTGACATCTGGGGAGGAGGAATGAGAGGTGATTCAGGCTGTGGACTTGGACCGAAGAGACCGGGGTGTGAATCCCTCCACAGGCTCTTCCCAGACTTCTAACCATGCGCAAAGTACTTAACCTCTCGGAGCCTGAACTTCCTCCTTGGATGTGACAGGTTCTGCCTGTGTCACTGGGGGCTGTTAGGACAAGAAGACTTTTTAAAGCAATTTTGAGAAGCCCCTTAAAGCAATATGTAAGTGTGTCATTGCCGTCCTTTTCAGGCAGCTAGCCAGTCCTCTGGGGTGCGTCTCGGTGCCACGATTAAGTGAAACTCGGTTCTTGTCTAACACTGTACCGGGTGTGGTGAGAATTAGAGAAGAAGGGTCACCCCCTAGAATTTTACAGCCCAACCTGGGAATCCAAGCTCACAAGTGAACAGGGCAAGATGAGAAGCATGCTGGCACCACCGGCTGGGGCGAGGAAGGGAGGGAGTCAATCCAAGGAGGCCTGCCTTGAGCAGGGCATTCTGGGCCTCTGAAGCCAGGTTAATACGCAGACAAATGAGTCGTAACAAATGGCGCCACTCTGAGTTTTACCAAGGGTCGTGAGCAACATGATTCACATGTTCCTTACAGAGACCAGAGAGGAGGTTGTGCTGTGCCCATTCTACAGATGAGGCTCAGAGCATTAAGTCAACCAGCCTGTTAATGTATACATTCACAGCCAATGCAGGGAAGCTGAGCCTGGGACTCAGGGTTCTGGTCTCAAGTCTTGTACTCTTTACACCCCCGGGCTGCTTCTCGAACACCAGGAAAGTCTCTTGACTGCTTGGAATTTGCTAGGTGTGAGCCGGTGGTATGGTCATATCTGTGCCCATCTTACCTATCTCACAGTGGTAACCAAAGAAACCTTCAGGGCAGACACACAGATAAGAGCCTCCATCATTCTCACACTCTCCTCCGTGCTGACAGGGCCCTGAGTCACAGGCGTCCACTTCTAGAGAATTCCCAAAACACACACAGTGGTAAGAACGGTATCGGCTTGAGGCGGGCCTCAGGCGTGGGGAGGGAAGAGCTTGGGGGAGTGGCAGAGCACGGCCACTCAGGCGCCTTTTCTTAGCTTAGGCACAGCTGTCTTGGCAGTTTTGAGGATGAGGGTTGACGGCAAAGCAGAGCTACCGTTGGAGGGCTGGGAGAGATGCTTGGGGGAGGTGATGGGAAGAGTGAGGAGCCGTCCAACAGGCCCCTTCAGGAGTCTTACCTTTTTCACAGTGGATTCCAGCAAAGCCATCGGGACATTGGCAGACAAAGGCAGCTGGGAGATCCTTGCAGGTCCCTCCATTTTTACAGGGATCTGACTGGCATTCATCAGTCTCTGTTGAGAAATCAGAAGTGTTTATGTATATGGTCATCACATGCTTGTATATATTCCCACTCTGAAAGACTGGTGAGCAGGAAAAGCCCTTTTCTCTCTTCTCTCCCCAGTATTAATTCCTTCAATAAGTAATTCAGGCCCTAGTGCAGGCACAGCACTGGTGGTTATGGTGGCAGAGTTGGGGTGGGGTAGAGTATGAAGTCCCTACCTGGGATGAGGCATAGATAGAGAGGAGTGATTGGCACTGTTGCATCAGAGAGGTGCCCAGGCAGCTCTCTAGGAAGGGCTTAGGACAGTGACATTTAGCCTAGCAAGAGCCTGACTGTCTATCTGGTTATCTGATGAGCTGCTGCTCAGCCTCCCTCTAGACTAATCCCCGTTTCATTCTGAACTAAACATGACCCAAATGGAAGACCCATTGTCTTCCCCCACCTCCCTTCCCAACTTGGGTTTTTCTCCAGGGGGCACGGCCATGCTTGCAGTCCTTCTTCAAACCCTTTGTCTCCCTTACCCATAATCTTTAACCTTTACAACCTGCCTTGTGTTTGACCCATTTTCTCGATTTTCCCAGCCACCACCTTAGTGCAGACCTGGACTAGGGCAGCCCACTCCTATGCTCTAATATCTCACCTCTCAGATTCATCCTCCCTTCGGCTGCTAAAATAGTCTTTCATTGTGTCATTTGCCTACCCATCAAACCTTCAGTGGTTCACTCTTATCTTCAGGATAAAACATGCCCTTGGAATTCGAGGCTCTTCACTGTCTGGCTCCAGCTTTCCTTTCCGGGGACATTCACATGACTCCTCCCTCTTAACTGAGTCCTAGCTGACCTGCCCTTCCTTGCTGTTCCTGTCTCCGGGTTCTAGACTTTTGCACAGAATACCCGGCTTTCATCAGCTGCTTCCTTCAAAGCTTGGCTTCTGAGCTTCTCTGAAGGAGAAGCCTTTCCTAATTCTTCTACCTGCTCCTGTTCTCAAATTACCCTGTTTATCCATTTGTTTCTTGTTAGCTCACCCCTGGCAGAATGTAACCTTCTAGAGGACACAGACAACCTTCTGTTTTTGTCTTCACGTCCTCATTGTTTGGGGTGGTGTTTGCACACAGTAGGTGCCTAATCAGTGTTTGATAGACTTGGCCTCACCAACTAGTTTCCTCACTAAGAAGGTTAGCAGGGATGAAAAGCAGCTGACAGTCATTGTCATACTCAGCAGCAGAACACCCTCTTGTCACTGCTAGGCAGGCCTGCCCACGTTTTTCAGGATTCCTCCTGTTGGTCATTTCTTTTTTCCTTTGGGTCTCTGATTTCATCAGTGCGGGAACTCCCTTCACAAGTACAGACTCTTCTGCAGCTTCCAGACTGTCTGAGCACTGCCTGAGGCCCTGACAGCTTAAAAGCCCTGCCCGAGGTCACACTGCCAGGAGAGGTCAGAGGCAGGCCATCCCAACTCTGGGTGGGCCTTTCTCCATTTGGCAACATTGGCACGCTGTGCCATTCAGGGACCACAGTGTGTTCAGTTGCTCCATAGTTGGTAGGCACCCCCTTAGTTTCCAGTTTTTTTTGGTAGCACAAAAAATGCTGCTGTGATTAGTATGTGTATAGGTCCACATCTGTCTGTCTGTCTGTCTATCGATGTGGCTGTTTGTCCTTTGTTCTCCAAGAGAACCATACAGCAGGAAGGTGATGCTGTGACTTGCAAGTGCATTGGATTTAAGTGAGAGAGAGCTGTGCAAAGTCACCAGCATCACTCTCTCTTCCGGAGCCGTCTGGATCTAGTGGCCAGATATAGATCAGGATGACTGGGGACAGCCCTGGGCCTATCTGGGTAGATATAAAATTGTGTGTCTATTTATAGGTAACGTACACATATATGTATATACCTGTGACCTTTCTTTCTCTCATTGACCTTGTGCACAGGCCCTGATGTTATACCTAGCCAAGAGTTACCCTAACCTGCTCAGGGTGGGCCCAGAATGTATTCACACAAGTCCTCCCCTTTGTACTCCATGTGGCTGACAGAGTGTCCTTTCAGGGTTTGTGGGACTTTCTCTTACCCAGCTCACAGTGGGGTCCCATGTATCCTGAGCCACAGACGCAGAGGAAGCTGGCGATCCGGTCCTTGCAGGAGCCCCCATTCAGGCAAGGCTGAGATTCACACTCATTGATTTCTAAAAGAGGATGGAAATGTTATCTTAGTACAGGGACACTGATTTGGTTTGGGGATGGTCTGGCATAGAGAGAGTGCTGGCTTTCAAGTCAGAAAGTCCTGCCTCTGCCACGTGCAGATTGGGGGACCCTGGGCAAGTCACCACCTGAGATTAAGAGAGATCTCTTGGACTGTAACTTGCAGAGAAGGAGCTGACCTGCTTTGGAAGAGGGATTTTCTTCATCTGGGAATTTCCTACGCCACAAATCATAGGTCCATTCCCCATCCCCTGTCTTTGTTAGGAGGATTTTGGGAAAATCCAGTAACAAACCTTGAGAAACCTGTGAGAGAGTCCAAACCAGGGATGGGAATCACTGGTGCGACAGAGATGGAATTGGTCTGGAAGCCAAAATGAAATTGGGGCTCACGGGAGATGACTGCTCCTGGAAATGGCTTCATTCCTCTCTGGGGCCGGGGAGAAGATCTGCAAGGCTTCTCAAGCCCTCCCCCCCAAACCTGGAATGGTTTTTCCTCCTCAGCTCCACTTCTGGGAATTCTTTGCTTCCTTTAAGAACCAGAGTGGCTGCCTACCTTCCCTGGGAATCCCTGCCCGCTTCTGGAGACCGCTGACATGGTTCAGGGTCTGTGCCTTGACTGTGTCAAACTCTCAGGTCACTTTGGGCAGTGACAGTAGGGATGATGATGATGATGATGATGATGATGATGATGATAATAGCTAGCATTTATAGACCATTTTACCTATGTTATCTCATTTGACTTTCACAATCATCCTGTGGGTTGGATGCTATTATTGTCACCATTTTACAGATGAAGAAACTGAGGCAAACAGGAGTTAAGGGATTTGCCCAGGGTCACAAAGCAGTGACTGAGGCCAGATTTGAACTCAAGTCTTTCTGACTGTAACTGAAGCATCTGCAACAGCTGTTGTTTTGGGTGGAGCTACATTGTTTGTATAGACACTGCTTTAGCTGGGGGTGCTCTAGATTTCATAGACTCACAGAACGCTGGAGTTGGAAGAAGCCCTAGAACACAGACTGTTAGAACATAGGAGTCTAGACCTAGAATAACCTTTCAAGAACATCAGATAAGAAGAAGGCACATTTCTAGAGTCAGATCCCTTGTGATGCACTTTACCTGCATTCTCTGTGGAATGCCACAACATTCCTGTGAGGCAGGGAGGAACCTACCTCATTACACCCATTGTACAGATGAGGATCTGGTCTCTTGAGGGGCATGTGAAGAAGACTCAATGGGATGCTGTATGTGAAAGGGCGTTGACAGTCTTTGGGACTGGGCAGACATCACAGGTTGTTACTGGGATGTCTGCTTTTTAATGAGACAGCCAGTCAGGAGTGCTGGCCATAACTATGGGAATCTCCGCGGGAAAGTCCCTTAATCTCTCTGGGCCTCATTTTCTTTCTCAGCAGACTGAGGAATTTGGATTATGGGATCTCTAAGGTCTGTTACAGTTCTCAGCTTTAGAGCTGAACCTTATGGGGCACCAAGTCCACAGACGAGAAACTGAGGCCCAGAGAGATGAAAAAACTTGTCTTGGGTTCAACGGGCAGTAATTTTGGAGCCTGGGCTTCCCAGTTGTTATTAATATGCCCACATTAAGCTCTCCATTTTTTGTGTCATGTGGCTCCGAATTAGCCAAAGTAGGGAGAGAGGGTATAAACTCAGAGTTCTCCAGTCCTCCCCCCACCCCAACCTTCAGGGAGAACCTCAATATGTTCACAGTGGAACCCAGTCACCATCACACTGTGGGGGTTCGCTCCAGAGTCCGTGTGCTCTGCACACTCTGGGGTTGTTCTCAGAGCTGAGGATGTAGCCCTGCTCACACTCGTATTCAGCCAGGGAGCCCATCTTGGTGGAGTTAAATCTCACTTTGGTGTTCTTCACTGAGCTGGGAGTACCGCAGTCCACCTCTGAGTGACAAGGAACACATGGGGCAGGGTGGGAGAAGAGGAAAAGCCACAGTTACCTCTGAGAGAGCTTGGAGTCTTTTGGAGAGAGAAACTTTAGAGCATGCATGATCTGGCTCATGGGGAATTGGGATCAACCAGGAGAAAGAAATCCATTGCTAAATTCATTCACTTAATAAATGTGCTGGATGTTGGGTAGGATAAAAAATAAGCAAATGATCTGGGTTTTACCCAAGGGGGTCTCATACTCGGAAGGCACCTCTTAGGACCAGAGGTTCTCTTGGGGAGGGGCTTTCATTTGGCATCTTGTGGCTCCCTGCTTTCCTTTTCCTCCTCCTCAGCCTCCCCACCCCTGCTAACTCCCTGCTCTTCTTTTGGATAAAACCAAACGCAAGCTTGACCTCACAGGGCTGACTTTGAGTTGTCTGGGATGGGGCTCCTTCATGGCTCCCTGTCTTTTCCTCTTCCCTCCTTTTCTTAGAACAGCTTCCATTTCTATGGTATTTAAAGGTTACAAAAAAGGCTTCTGGCTCACAGTGCCCCCATCCCCACCCCCATGGAGGGAGGGCCTCAGGTGAAGAAACAGCCCCAGAGAGAAGAGGTGACTTATCTAAGATCAGACAAGTGGGAAGCGGAGGGAGCTGGGACTTCAGGGATTCCAAGTTGTCTTTCTGTGTTTTCCTTTCCTACTGCTTCCCCTGGCTATGAAGGGGGTCTTTAAGGCAGCGTAGGGGGTCAGGGTTAAGAACCTGTGGCTCCCAGACTTGAGTGTAGGCTTTCTGCAGTACTCCCAGCTGCCGGTGCCTTCCCCTGTAAGACTGCCTTACTAGATCTATTCTACATGTACCTTCTAGGTGCCTAGCTACCATATATTGTCTCTGCCTTGAGGGCAGGGACTGCTCTTGATTTCCCCAGCACTTAGCACAATGCCTGGCATGTAGCAAATGCATAATTCATTGTTGGGACCTTACCTGACTGGCAGCGTTTCCCAGTGTACCCAGCACGGCAGCGGCAGATGTAGTCTTTGCCAAGATCGTTGCAGGTGGCACCATTTTCGCAGGGGCTCATAAAGCAAGGAGAGGGAGCTGGAAAGGGATAGCCAGAAAGGACATGGAACCCACCCAGACCTCCATCTAAATGGCCTCAGTCATGATCCTTGTGGGCCATACTCTGAAATGGACCTTGGGGATTGTGGCAAAACCCAATGTCAGAGGATGCAACTTGGTGACATAGCAGTAGCTAGGCTGGGTCCACTCTGTTGTATGTGAATCTGTGATGGAAGCTATCCAAGGACCTTGGTATGGTGACGGCTTCCATAGCTGGAAAATGTAGCTAAACTTTCAGAGTGCAGAATTCTGCTCTTTGCCTTCTCTAACTCTTCCTATCAGTGACCTGGATAAGGACACAAATGGCTTGTCCAATTGGTGGATGACACAAAGGAGGGAGGAAGAGATTCTGGACAACAGAAGCGGGATCCAAAAATGTATCTGGCTGGAATAACAAGCTGAATATGATCGGGATAAATTGGGAGTCCTGCTCTGGGGGCCAAAAAAATCATCGTAGGTGACTGCGAGCTGAAGAGGCTTGCAGCCGAAGGGTAGATTGTGATGTTAGGCTGTGTGACTTGCAGTGATGCAAGTCATCGGCCCGCTTTGCTGTGCCCTGGTCAGACCAGAGCACATCTGGAGCAGGGGTTCACTTCTGGGCCCCATAGTGTAAGAGAGACATTGACAAATGTTTAGAGGGTGGTGACCAGGGTGGTGAAGGGTCTTGAAACCGCGTGATATGTGGATCATCAGTGGAAAGACCTGGAGATGAGATGTTTCATCTGAAGAAAATAAGGCTTGGGGAGAACACGACTCTCCAAATTCCCTCTTGCCTCGAGGAGAAAAGACAAGCTCCTAGTTGGCTTTTAAGGCCATTCACAGTCTGGCTCTGGCTTAAAATTACTCTTCACATGTAATATTTTCCATCTGAGCCAGCCAGTTTGTTGTTTCTCGGCATGGCATTTCATCTCTCATCACCATGCCTTTGCCCAGGCTGTCTCCCACGTCTGGAACACTCTCCCTCCTCACCTCCATCTCAGACTCCCTAGCTTCCTTTAAGGCTCCACTCAAATACCATTTTCCACAGGAAGACCGTCATGACAGATGCCCCCCGTTGCTAGACTCCTCCACCCAGAAGTTACTCGGTATCAACATTGTGTGTTTTGTGTTTGCTTTTTGGAATCCACACTGTTTTCCTCCAGTCGATGATTACCCGTGGAAGGCGGGGCCATTTTGTCCTTTGTCATCATCCCCACGATACCTAGCACAATGCTGGTACACAGCAGGTGCTTACTAAGTACTTGTCAAGTGGACGTGGAGGACGTGGAGGAGGGGCTAGGCCTCCTGACAGCAGTGACATTGCAGACAGGCAGACCGAGGCTGGATTTGAGGAAGCCCTTCCTTACAATGAGCTCTCCCCAAATGGAATATAGTGCTCTGTGGAGTTCCCGTCACTGGAGGTGTTCAATCCGAGGATGACTGACCACTTGCCAGGGAGGCTGAAGAAGGAATCCGGGCCTCAGGCAGGCAGTGACCTTCTCTTTGTGAGATCCTGTGATTCTCTGCTTCGGAGAGGAACTTCCCCCTGCCTTCACATCCTTCCTGAATACGGGTCTAGTATCTTTCTGGAGACACACTATGGAGGTGGTGAGTGGTCAAACAGGCGTCACTAGAGCTGCCTGGACCTAGTCATGTGGCCTTCCTCATAAAACTCTTCCATCCACAGGCCTTTGGAACTCGAGTCAGCTGGATGTGGGCCATGGCATACAAGCGTTCTCTGAATCTGAGGTTCTATGAGTTGTTGTTTCTGGGATCTAAAACTCCAATCGCTAAGTAGCCTGGGTATGATCTACAAAGCCTAGTGTCAAATGAGAAATGGTGGGGTCCCCCGTGAGCCTACTGGAGCCCTGCCCCTACCTAGAGAAGAAGTTAGCTTCAAGTCTAGGGTGCTCACTGAGCACGCTGGCCACCTGCAACTGGCTTCACATCCCTTACCTATTTCACAGTGCCGCCCGGAATACCCTGGTGGACAGTCGCACTTGTATTTGCCAATGTAATGGAAGCAGGTCCCTCCGTTCTGACAAGGGCCAGAGGCACAAGAGTCTGGCTTTCCTGAAAACAGAACGTAGCACGTAACCAAGAGGAGTCAGCAGCTGCTGGCCTCTGGGTCTGTGCTCTGGCCCCCTGTGCCTTCCCAACCTTGACCTTCATGTGCTGGCCTCTGATGTGCGGGCCTTACCTATCTCACAGTGCTTCCCTGTGAACCGATAGGGGCAGCTGCATCGGTATTCCCCGTTGGACTCCTTGCAGGTCCCGCCGTTCCGGCAGGGCCCGGAGCTGCACAGTCTCGGCCTTACTGAGGAAAGAGAAGAGAGAGGAAGAGCCAGGCCCACCACCTGTGAAGTGCTCCCTGTCTCTAGGCTTGGGATTGTTTTTGATTTAAGAACCCTGACCTCAACCAGAGGCTCTTTCTTGGGGAGGACATTTCCCACCTGAATTCATGGCTACCTTGGGAGTAGCTAGGGTCTGGACTTTGCTTCCAGTGGCATTCAGAAGATGCCCCTGCAGAATTTGTCTTGTTTATATGATTCACTCCTTATGCTATATCCCTGGGGCATAGTTTGTGAAGCTTGCCCCAGGCATGAAAAGTATTGTTACGACTCTGGGGAAGGGCTCCATTGCTGCCTCGAAGTCACTGACAGCTAATGCAGACCTGTTTCCTCTCTCCCTCATCTTTGTAAATCTTTGGGAGGCCAATGGAGGGAGCAGCTGGCGGGTCTTTTTTGAACCTGGGCCAAGCCCTGGGGTGACCGTGGCGGTGCTGGGGGTTCCTGGAGAATTCCTAGGGCCTGCAGTTGGACTGACGCGGCTCTCTTGTGATAGATAGTGCTTTGGGTGGCCCTTGTCTTAAATAGATGAGGAGGAGAGCCTTGAAGCTACTTGGCTGTGGTCACACAGGTGGTGGGATCAGAATCCAGATCCTCTAAGCCCAGAGCCAGTGCTCTGAGGACATTGAGGGTCACAGGGCTCAGCTGACTTCCCTGGGGTCACACGGATGGTCAGCGCTCTGCCCTTTATCACATCACCGAACCTGTCTGGTAGCAGCGTAAAGGGGGCAGTCTGGAGGGACGGCGAGCCTGGCGGCCATACCTTTCTCACAGTGCTTGCCGAGGAAGCCTCGTGGGCACTCGCAGGTGTAGGAGTCGTCATGGGCATTGCAGGAGCCCCCATTGAGGCAGGGATCTGAGTCGCAGGGAGAGGGCAGAGCTGGGGAAGGGGAGACCCCAGCTGGTCAAACACGTTTCCTTACACAGCCTTCCTGAGAGGATGGCAGGCAGCTGAGGGGGTGCACCCCTTATCTCCCAAGTGTGTGTATATCGAGACGCCTTCTGATCCGGGGTACCCAGCATTCCCAAACCTGCCCGTTTTTTTTTCCTGAATAGTTTTCATTCTTGGTTTGTACCCAGATCCATTCCCTCTCCTTCCTAGGTCTTCAGGTAGAAATAGTGGAGAGGTGAGGGACCTTAGAGGCGGTCGAGTCCAGCCCTCTCATTTTACAGGTGGGGAAACTGAGGCCTAGAGAGCTTAAGTGACTTAGCCAAGGTCACACAGCTGGTTAGCATTGGAACGAAGCCAGGACGCCTTTTCCTTCCCACTGGTTATATGACCCGGATTCTGAGGAGCCTTTCCTTCAGTCGCTCTGCCATTCAGAGGCGGCCCTCGCCTTTCTTTCGTTCCTCCCGTGCCTCTCTCCCCCAGTGCCCCAGCCCCACTCACAGTGGTTGGTGGTGTAGTCGGTGTGGCACACGCAGAGGTAGCTCCCGCCGTACTCCATGCAGTAACCGCCGTCAGGACACTGGCTGTTCACATTGCACGGGGTGGCGGTGACTTCTGCAGGGACAAAGAAGAGGCCCCGCCCCCCCCGCCCCGCCAGGCACCCAGATTCAAGTGGGCAGGCACACCCCATGCCTAACAATCGAAACTAACTCAGCACAGGTACATGTGAATCGTGGGTTGTCCGTCATGCTAACCACAGGGGCTTCCTGCTCTCTTCACTTGGTCTCTAAGCACGATTGTTTAGGCCCAAAGGAAAATCTGTGTATCCGTACCTGCCTGCATTTTTCTGGGCGATGGTGTACAAGTCAAAATGACTTGAGGTTTGTTTTTTGTTTTTGTTTTCAGAATCCAGTTAGACTCGACAAGAATTTGTTAAATGCCTGCTGTATACAAGACAGCCTGGATCAGCCTCTCTTGTGATGGACTGTCTGTGCTTTAGACATTCTCCTCCCTTGGTTCTCCTGCCCTGGCCACTTTGGAACCTTCCATACGGCTTGATTGTACCCTGGGAGTTCCACTGACCCATTCCTTGCTTGTAGCAACAAAGATGGTGGGCCAGTCAGATTCCTTTCAGTGAGAATGTGCTCCTCCCTGTGAAACCACAGCCCTCACCTTTACCATCGAGTTGTCCTGGGGTAGAGAAGTGAGAAAACTACCCAGGCACCTTCCCCTGCTGGCTGTGAGGAGTTTGGCTACTGTGGATCTCTCTGTCTCTGTCTCTGTCTCTGTCTTTGTCTCTGTCTCTGTCTCTGTCTCTGTCTCTTCCTCTCTTCCTGTCTCTCCCCCCCTCCCTCTGCTACCCCCTTTTTAGCATCATTGAGGAAACTGAGGCCCAGGGACTTTAAATGACTGGCTCATCAACAGCTGTGTATGTTAAGGGACCAGGGAGTCCTGTCTCACTAAAGAAGTGCTTTTCACTGAAGATGACCCAGTAAGTAAGGGTTGCTAAATCAAGTTGCAGATGCATCCCCAAGGGGGAAGCAGCAGTTCATGGGGGAATGGAAGAGGAGCAGCGTGGGCAGGGCCAGCGGGCAGTCAGGAGCATTGCTGCGTGGTCTTTGGACGGGGGCAGGGAGTTTTGTTGTGAGGGCAGTAAAAAAAGAGATGTTTTCCTCCTGTGGTCCGTACCAAATTCACAAAGGATTCCAAAATATCCCGGGGGGCAGTGGCAGAGGGTGAAGTTTCCATCGAGGCATCTCCCCCCATTCCGGCATTCACAGTCTTCTGGGAGCTCTGTAATCGACCAAGAAACAAAGACACCTTGAGAAGACGAAAAGACCCTGAGACATGGAGATATTTGTAGCAGCATTTTTTGTGGTGGCAAAGACCTGGAAACAAGGTAGCTGCCATTGACTGGGGGAAGGGCTCGATTGACTGCTGCAGAAGAATCTGATGGAATATCGGTGCCAGCAGGAAATGATGAGTGGGACGGAACCCGAGAAGCCCGGGGAGAGGTGCTGAGCCGATGCAGAAGCAAGAAAACCAGATAAATGGTAACGACAGCATCGGACGTGCAAATAGAAAACCCACAAGAAAATCCAAAGGCAGAGATGCACAATTATAAAAATACCAAGCATGGCCCCAAAGAAGAGAAAGGAGAAAACACCTGCAACCCACTGCTCTGCCATTGGGAGATCCATGGGCAGGCAACACTGCTTATGGTTTCAGAATTTTTGGTAGATTGGTCAGTTTTGCTGAATCGTCCTCTTTTTCTCTAAAAAAATGTTTTTTTGTAGATGGGATAGCTTTCTGGGAGATGCGGAAAATGAATGACATCAACAAAAGTTCCAGAAAAAGAAGAAAGGAGCCAGAGGGTTAGGGTCCTATCCTCCTGGCTGCCAGAATCCTGGGACTTGAGATGCAGGTGTGCCAGGGGAACACAGAGTGCTCAGAAGGTGCTGTCGGGAAGCCAGTGCCCTCACATGACTGTTGCCAAGTCTGTCTGAGACCTCGGGCAGTTCACAGTCCAAATTAATTCATGAGACTTTTCCCAGGAACCTGTACAGCACAGGGACACACAGGCATGATCAGACTCCCCAGAACGATGTCGCTGCGAAGTCCCCTCGGCCCCTCCAACTTGCCCTCGTTCCAAGGTCTGACACAGCCCGGAAGCCTGGGCTCTCCTTGGTTTTAAACTCTATCTATAGGCAGCATCAGAGGGTGAAAAAAACTGTTCTTTTCAGCTAGACAGTAGCTGCTGCTTACCTCCCTGGCTGCCTGGATGTGGGAATGCCAAGTTTCTTTCTGAAAGACTCAGCCACCTTCCTCTCATTGTTGTGTGTGGGCAAGAGGGGAGTGAAGGGGGAAGAGATGAATGACTAGTGATGTTGCCTTTGTCACGACCTGAGTGATTCTTTCCTTCCATCCCACACACCACCCTGTGTAAACACATGCCTATTCCATTGACCCTTCCTCGTTGAAGAACCGGTGAGGCGACTGTTGAGCAAACTGACCAGTGTCCTGGCAGTGGGAGCAGGTGGAGATCAGAATCATTCACTCAGAATGACCCTGGCTATTTCTCGGTGTCTAGCTAGAGCGTCGCTCTGACTGCCGCGCTGTATGCCATGGAGGGTGTCAGCACCTGGGAGGCTCTGGTTAGAACCGATGTCGTGCTTACTTTCTGCACAGTCGGAGCCTGTGTGTCCATCTGGACACTCGCAGAGGTAGCCCTGGTCTGTCTCCAGGCAGGTGCCCTCGTTCTGGCATGGGTTGGAGAGACAGGCACTTGGGATTCTGGGGCCTCCTGCAGGAAGACATCACAGTGAATCACAGGGGGGCCGGGGAGAGGGCTCATGAAGGGAGAGGCTGGGATTGTCTTGTTAGTTTGCTTTTCATGGGCATACATTTTGTCTCCCCAGCTATACTGTGTGGCCCTTGAAAGGCCGGGACCGCGTGTTCTGCGTCTCCCTGTGCCCCAAAGTACTCAGCATAGTAGACGTTGAAGATAGCTTGTCTCTGTTTATTTCAATCATCTCTTGTTTTGTTTAAAAGCAGTCAAAGATCTAGCTCTGATAAGGCCTAAAATCAGAGATTTCCGGTTGGAATGGAGCTTAATTCAGCAAACACTCGTTAAACACCTGTTGTATTTAAGGCACTGGGTTAGGCTCTAGGGACACAGAGAAAAAAGTTAAAACAGTCTGTCTCAGAGAGCTTGCCTTCTACTGAAGGGGAACCCATGGAAACAGGGAAGTAAATACACAAAGTGCACAAAACTACACAAGGTCATTTTGAGTGCTGACTGCCCTTCTGTAGAAGATGGCTGTTGGGCTGTACTTTGAAAGGGGCTAGAGATTCCAGGAGGCAGAGGCAATGAGGGGTGCATAGAGGCGGGAGAATGAGCAGGCCCATTGGACCGGAACAGAAAGTAGAGAGGGAGTAATAACAACAACAGCTAACATTTGTGTAATGTTTAAAATTTTGCAAAATGCTTAAAACATGTTATTTTGCTTGGTCCTCATGACAATTTTTGAGGTAGACGCTAGTACTATCCCTATTTTACAAGTGAGGAAACTGAGGCAGACAGATGTCTACTGGCTTGTCCAAGATCACACAGCTACTAGGTATCTGAGGCAGAACTTGAACTTGGGTCTTCCTGACTGTAAGCCTCACACTTTGCCCACCTAGCTCCCTAAATAAGGCCAGGAGAGAGAGCTTAGACATCACCTCATCCAGTTCCCTCACTTGACGGGTGAAGAAACTGAGGGCCAGAGGAAGGGACTGACATTACACAGAGGAGAAAAAGCAGATATGGGATTTGAATCCAGTTCCTTCCCCAGTGCCGTGCTGACCCTCCTCCTCCTCCCCGTGTATCAAGGCTCAGGTTAAAACCATCCATTTTTTAGTAGGGAGGAGTTGAACTAGCAAGGGAGGCAAGCACGGGTTATGCCATGGTCAGTCCTGTAGCTTCTGGAAGCGGTGACAAGCTCCAGGGCAGCTGCCCTGCCTTGGCTTGGGCTGGGTCACTAGTAGCCATACTTTTAGAGGTTCCCTGGGCCTGCTGTCTGTCACCTGCCAGTGGCCCAGGAAGGAGCTGTGCGGCATTTCATGCCAAAGGCATGGACCAAGCTTGGCACTTCTCTTGTCTTCTCTCAGTGCTTCCCCAGGCTCTGAGATGCAGCTGCCTGACCAATCGGGTAGACAGGCCCGCGGTGACATCTCCTCTCTGGCTCCTGCCTCTTGGTCTCAGTGCTGATCCCCAGCCCTTAGTCACCAGCATTTCCCGGCTGGGCCTCCCTGTCATCGAGGATTATGATGTGATTCAGCAGAAGGAACACTGGCTTTGGAACTCGAGTTCAAATCTCGCTTTTGAGACAAGCTAGCTGAGCAGACTTCAGTAAGTCACTCATGTTCCACAGGCTTCAGTATCCCCATCTGTAAAATGAAGGGGTTGGACCAGATGGCCTCTAAGATCTCTTCCAGGTCTGGATCTTGGATGCTCCGAGCTGTTCTAGTCTGGCCACCCTGGCTCATTTGTTCTCATTACCCTACATGGACACCATTAGGCACCTACTGACGGCTATTCTAAATGACTCAGAGTGGCCAGGAAGATTTAATTCACTTCAGTTGGATTGCTGTGCACTGTGAAACTCTTAGAGAGGGAAATGTTACCTAGGTCAGGGGTTCTTCACTTGGGATCTGTGAATTTGGATGGGCGGAAAATGGCTTCTTCATTTTCAAAAACTTCTAGCTGAAATCTAACATTTCTGAAAGGAATTATTCTGAGAAAGGGGTCCCTAGGCTTCCCCAGACTGCCAGTGGGGTTCCTGACACAGAATTGTTGAGAACCCCTGACGCTGATTCTGAGATATTTATGAATGACTAAGTAGTACACCTGGCTTGGTCTGCTCTGTGCCTTGCTGCCGCCAGTGAACATCACACAACTCCTTGCGTTCCTGGTGCCTCATCTTCCCCCTCTGATGGAAGTGAGTCGTTCGGCCTGCTCATGCTGGGACGCGTTAAGATGGTGGAAGACTCTTCCTCTCTCTCTGACCACAGACACTTTCTGCAGCTCCATTCTCTTAGCTGATGCTTCCCAACCACCTCCCAGGGTGAGGAGAGCAGGGGGCTCCAGAAGCCGGACCTCTGGACAGCTCTTCTTGCTGTGCCTTGGGGTGCCTCATTGTGGTCTGGGGGCGAGCCTAGGGTCTTGATGTCTGAGGACTGACAGAGCTCAGGCCTGGAGAGGCTCCCCCCCCAGGCTGGCTCCAGCCGCTCAGGAAGATCCTCTGGGCCCTAGAGGAGCTGGGCTCTGTGGGGGAGATAGAGGAGAGGGTGCGCACCCGGAGTTGCCGTCCCTTGAAATATTGCAGCATGGGCTGTTACTGTGAGACTTTGTGGAGGAGGTGGGGTCTGGGGGCAAGCCCCACACTGCTGAGGAGAAGACAGCTCCCTGTGTAGCAACAGCTCAGGGTCAGTGATGGTTCTCAGTATGTCGTTCCCATGGAGATGCTCTGTTATGGTTTAAAAATAACTCCCATGTGCAGTGACCACTTTATCAGCAGTAGGAAGCAGGGAAGGAAGTCCATTGACTGGAAATGGTCTCTTTACTTAATCGCCCTTTGATGAGTGCCACTGTCCAGATGAACTCAGCCATGCCTCGCTGTGCCCCAGACACCCTTGGCTCTCCCTTGATCTTCTCTCTTCACTGTACAAAAATGCTTCTGATCCTGATTCCCAAGGTTCCCACCAGACAGTTCCTCTTCCCAGGCTCTAGTCCTTTAGCCAAGATCTTGCTGAAGACCAGAATATTTGGTGGACATGCCCGGCCATTTCACAAGGCAGAGCCACGTGGTGAGGTGATAGTTATGATGTAGAGTCATAAGAGACTCCGTATGGGACTCCAGGTTGTGGAATATAGAGATGCTTTGGAATCCAGGTGTAGACTTCTGTATTTACTTTGGCATTTCAGGGGTATGTGATACCATCAGTAAGGTGGCTCCCCTAAATACAGCCAGTGCAACTCATCCCCACCTTCTCATTCAGTAGAATTCTTGGCCATATCTTCCAATAAATCCCCTGCATGTGGTCTGCTTACATACTGGGGGCATGTCTGGATGCCAGACATGATGTGGGCACCAACGGAGCCTTCACATGCTACTTGCCATCCCTTTCTCTTGCTTCACGACTGGCCCCTCTCTTTTTTTCCCATCCTTTGTCTCCTTGGTGGTGTCTTTGGCATCTTTTCTCCCATTCATCTCTTTGTTGTTAATAAGCCTTAGCCTTGTCACACCCACCACGAATCCCTCTACTGTCCTTTGGACAACAGTATTGAATGACCAGCAGCACTATACTGCCATTAGAAGAATGTTGGTGCTGAAAAGATGAGCAGGCCTTTGTTGGGGGAGAACTTTGGGGCCATTAAAAACTCCCAGAGGTGAGTCAGCTTCCCCTCTTTCCTCTTTTAATTTTGGGCTCAGTTCATTGTCCATCTGCAGTGCTTGTCCAAGATACACGTACTCATGGACCGCTTCTGTGGGCCTTCTAGCCAGCTGCCAAGCGTGGTTTGGACAATAGTCATTCTTTATCCCTTTGATTTTTTTCCCATATGGTTGATTAGACCAAAATATCGTGACTCTAGTTCTCTTTTAGGTGACCCCGCATTGTTGTGGGGCCTCATACAATCAGGATGGTGCCATGTGCAACCAGGATCATCCTGTCCATCCATAGGAGCCATGGACTGTCCATCCGTAGGAAATCCCTGTTTGATTTTGGCTCTGATCTGGATATCTGCCTTGACAGGGTGGTCATTCAACTCCCTCCCTGTTTGTGCCTTGCTAAGTATGTTCCATCTTTCAAGGCATCTCAAAAGTAGCTTCTTGGAAGAGGGTTTTTAAAGCAATGCTTGTTCTCCTGAGTTGACTGCTTTTCTTTTTCTTAAATGTTAACTGTAGAGGACTCCCTTGTTCTCTGAACCTTTCATTCAACTGGAATATGGTTTGCGAAATGCCTTCGTCAAGGATTACTTTTTTTGTGTGTGTGTGTGTGTGTGTGTAGATTATTTTCATAAAGATTTCCTTGAGTTGGGAAAATATGCATGGGGTGGGTAGTTACCGATATTTTTTCTCATTGCCTTTTTGCAGTGGTCAGTGACCACGTGGGGATTCTCCTTCTTCTTTCTGCCACGACTTGAAACTGACTTCGTGGGCCTCCCCGCTGCATGTCCGTGGCTTGCTGTATACATGCCTCTGTTCTTCATTCTCTTTGGAAAGCATGTGGGCAGTCAGAAGTTCCACAGGTGGATGGCTGCTCCTGTTTCCCAAGAAGCCATTATACTCTGCCTTCTAACCCCCACGCCACCCCAGGGGGTGGTCCATCTGAATGTCGTGAGTCAGGGAGATGGGCCACCCCAGCTGCTTACCATACTGACAGTTGTTCCCATAGTAGCCAGGAGAACACGTGCAGATGTAGCGCCCTGGGCGGATGTAATTGCAAGTCTGCCTGTCTCTGCAGCTCCGATCTTCACAGGATGACTGATCTAGACAGAATGGAAAAGCAGAGCCAGGCAGTGTCAGCAGAGCGGAAGGGCACCGGAGGCAGGCCTGGGCTTGGGTGGAAGAAAGTGAGGAATAGGCAGAGCCAGTGAAGAGCGAAATGAGATGAACTGAGGGGCTGAGATGTGACAGGGGCTGTCACACGTGGAGGGAGACTTCTTACCTAACTCACAGCGAGGGCCAAGGAAGGGCTCTGAACACAGGCAGGTGTAGTTAGCCACCAGGTCCACACATTTCCCCCCATTCATGCATGGGTCAGAGTCACATTCATTTATATCTGTGGGGGAGGAATCACAGATGGCGTGAGTGAGTTAGTCTTCTGGTGGGAGGCCATTAGGGCAGATAGGATCACACTCATTTTTCAGATGAGGAAACTAAAACTCAGAGAGTAGGTGACTTGCTCAGGGCCACACAGTGAGCAGATGTCAGGGATGGGATTTGAATCCAGAATTCAATACCAGCACTCTCCTCAATGCCACTCTGCTCCTTGTAAAAATTGCCTGCCTGGCTTCTTACCGATTTCACAGTTTTCTCCTGTGTACCCTGACTGGCACACACACTCTGCAGTCCCATTTCCAGCCTGGCATTCTCCACCATTCTGACAGTCCTTGGTGTCACATGGGGATTCCACTGAACAAGGGAGACATAAACACAGTAGTTACATGACATCCCTTTGCAATTAAATGAAAAGATTTCTATTAGACAGAAATACAGATCTGGAACGTGGGCGCAAGGTCAGGGTTGGAGAGAGATATTTGGGAGTCATCTGTGCAGAGGTAATTATCGAGAGAATGTAGAAAGAGAAATGGGGGTGGGGGAGGCTTCAAGCTCTGTAGAGAGAGTGATAGGCTTGAAGTCGGGAACACTTGAGCTTAAATCCTGCTTCAGACACCTATTAACGTTGTGACCCTGGGCAAGTCAGTTCACTTTGGTCTGCCTCAGATTCCTCATCTGTAAAATGACAATACCTACCTACTTACCTACAATACCTACCTACAGGGTTGTTGTGAGGTTTAAATGAGATGATACATTTAAAAAAGTTAATATATTTTATTTTCCCTCTCAATTACATGTTAAAATAATTTTTAAACAATTATTGTTTTTAAATTTAGAGTTCCAAATTCTATCCCTCCCTCCTTCCCTCCCCTCCCCCACCCCAACTATAAGCAATCAGATATAGATTATACATATACAATAAATGAGATAATATTTGTAAAGAGCTTTGCAGACCTTAAAGCATGCTATAAATGCTAACTATTATTGTTTTTATTATTAACATAATTATTCTCTGAGATAGTAGGGAAACTGCATAGCTGCCATTTCTATCACACTTCAAAGTTTGCAAAGGGTTTTACATGCATTATCCAATTTGAGCCTCACAAGAACACTGTGAAGCCAGAAGTGCTTGTCAAACCCACTTTACCTGTGAAGAAACAGCCTTAATGACTTGTATAGACAGCTAGTAAGTGTTGCAGGCAGGATTCAAACCCAGGGCTTTTTTACTACAGGCCCAGCACACATTCTCAAAGAAGGAGGATTAGGGTTGTTCAGCCTGGTCCCAAAGGGCAGAACTGGGTGCAGTGGGTGCAGCTGAGGCAGATGGTGGCTTGATGTAAGGAAATTAGAGGTATTCAGAGGACAGTGGGCTGGGGGCTGAGGGCACTGCCATGGGGTTGTACGGGGAGGCTTTTGTTCTGGGTGGGACTGATGGCCCCAGGGTCTCTTCCCGCTCTGAGGTTCTATGATCTGCCCACAGGACAGGACAAATGGCCCCATGAGAAAGAAGCCCATGATTTTCTGGGACTACAGTCAAGCCAGAGTCAAACAGAGATCCTCCAAGATTCCCAAGGCTAACTTTTTTTTGGGGGGGGGTGAGGCAGTGGGGATAAGTGACTTGCCCAGGGTCACACAGCTAGTGTCAAGTATCTGAGGGTAGATTTGAACTCAGGTCCTCCTGACTCCAAGGCTGGAGCTCTATCTACTGTGCTACCTAGCTGCCCTCCCAAGGCTAACTTTGTAAAGAGCCTGGAAAGAGTGCTGGGCTTAGATTTCAGTCTCAATACCCATGTCATCTTTGGTAGTTGTCTGGCCTCAGTGTTCCTTCCCTTCCCAGCTTTGAAAGCATCAGTGTCATTTGTGCAATGGGGCCTGACAACGAGGAGCCCATGGCCCAGGGTGTGGCCGTCATTGTTTCTAACAAGCAGCCCTCCAGGCATGGTCTTCCTTGGTAGTGGCCTCCCCGGCCCCTGACCCCTCTCCCCCACTGCGATTCTCAGTTTCTATCTGTTTCTCTGGATCTTGGAGCCGGGTTCCTGACCCCAGCCTCTGGTTTATAGTCCATCAGCTCCCCAAGGGAGGCTTTTCCGTAGCTTTGATGATTGCTTGCTGACAGACAGGCCTGTCCTGAGAAGCCTCAGGGATCCCTTTAGTCTAGAAGAATTGTTCTGAACCATGGGATGGGTTCCACCAGCCATCTGCTCCTGGCAGACACTCTGCTGTGTGGTAGAGACAATCCAGGTCTAACTTTCTGTGGGAGATGGAGAGTCCAAAATGAAGCTTCCCTTTGGGTAGGTGGTGTCGCCTGAGCAGGATTAATGGATGACAGAGGCTTGGGTGGCTGAGAGGAGGTGGGCTTAGGAGCTCAGCATTCCCCGCGGGAGCAGAGATCAGAGGATTGGGGAAGCAGAGACTTAGAGCCAGGAGGAAGCTCAGAGGTCATCTCATCTAACCTCCTCATTTTATAGGTGAGAAAACCGAGGCCCAGAGAAAGGAAAGAAACCTGGCAAGCAGTGGTGAGAGAGGGTGTCACCACCCCGGTGGGGGTCTAGGCCGCCTCCAGTGTCCTGGGGCTAGGAGGGAGGACAGCTTCAGGGTCAGCCTCCTGGGATGGAGGGTGGGCAGTTGCCTTTTTCTGCTGAGGCTGCATTTATAAGACACCAGCATGTTCACAGATCAAGACGCTGACCAAGCATTTAGGAAATCTGGGCTCTGCCATGGAAACATCATGTTGCTCTCTCTCTTGCGCATCAACTCTCTGTGCCTCAGTTTCCTCATCTGTGAAGTTGGGCTCATGATCGTTGTCTCACCTACTCATAGGGATACCAGAAGGATAATGTTTAAAACATAAACAAAAGAGGAAACTGAACAAGTCCCTAGAGCAGAGGCTCTGAGTGTGAAGCCTGGATCCTGTGGGGCTCAGCCAGGAATCCGTCCATCTGTGTCCTAATTACAGAGTGGAGACAGGTAGAAGAGCAAAGGAACTGAATTGGGCTTGATGCCAGGAAAAGCTTGCGACTCTACAAGCTGTCCAGGAGGAGCATAAGCTGCCTCGAGGGGTGCTGGGTGCCCTGTCTTTGGGGGTCTTCACCTGTCTGGGTGCTTCAGAAGGATTCCTCCCTGGGTCGCATCGAATCAGATGGTCTCTGAGGTTCTTTCTAGTGCACAGAATCTGCAACAAGATGCTTGGCATATGGACAGCCCTGTGACTCTTGTCTCTGATTTGGGAGGGGTGTTTGAAATCTGAAGGGGCAGGGATTCTGGTAGGCTTTCTTTTGGATGGTGTGTCTTACCTGTCCCACAGGTGGGCCCTTTGAAGCCTGGGGGGCATTGGCAGCTGAAACTGTTTACGCTGTGTGTACAGGTCCCTCCATTCTGACATGGATGGGAGGCACACTCATTCACATCTGAAAGACAGAACATGAAGCCTCAGGTGAAGAAAACCAAATCAGCCCAAATTGGAGCTTACAGAATGGTCAGATTGGGGATGCTTTTCTGGAAGACTATCTAAGTTGCCTCCACATTGGCAGAGGGCATTCCCTCCACCACCAGTATCCCAGGTCTGGGCTGTTTATCACAGCAGCATCCCTCAAAGAGCATCAGCGCGTGGCGCCATTATCCCAGAGAAATACTCACCCAGGTGGCATTTTTTCCCTGTGAAGCCTGCAAGGCAGGAGCAGGTGTAGGAGGGGTTCCCAGTAATGCAGTCATCAATACACTTCCCTCCATTCAGACAGGGACGGAGGGTCAGACACACAGAAGCTGCCAACACAAAACAGGAAAACTTTTCACTCTCAGAATAATGTATTCGGGAATTTTTCTTTTAATATTCAGGTGAGATGCTCAGACTGTAACAGGTCTCCCCCTTTATTCTTTGATTCACTCATTAATTAGTTAAAATAATAGGGCTCGGAACTGGACCTGTGATTTCACTGGCAAGTGGAACCTTTTCACCAATTCACAGTCTTACAGAATTGTCCAGAACATTGTAAGTTTAAGTGACTTGCCCCGAGTTACACAGCTAGTACTTGAACCATTGTAAGAAGGATATTAAAAAATGTCCTTCATTGCATCCCCCATCAGCTGTCCTTAGGTCTGCTGAAGTCTTCCTGGCTCCAAGACCAGATCTTTATCCACCAGCCTATCCTAGATCACACTGCCTGACACACAGTAGGCACTTTATAAATTCTAGTTGACTGATTGAAATTGCCAGCTGCCTCTAATATGATGATGATGAAGATGATGATGATGATGATAATGATGATAATGATGATAGCTCACACTTATTTAATGCTTTAAGGTTTGCAAAGACTTTACATACATTATTTCATTTATTTAAAAATAGTTATTCACTAAATGCCTACATTGTATAAAGTACCATCCTAGGCACAGGGGAGGGGTATGAAGATATAAAAACAGTCAATCTCTGAATAGAATAAGGTAACAGAGGATTGTACATTCTCAGAGGTCTTAGATATTAGGAAATTAGGATATTTTGTATTGGAAAATTTCCCAGTGATTGGATGGAAAAGGGCCCACTCTTCTGATATCAGTGAAAGGGCCTGCGAAGTCATGAATGGTCCTGAACACCATTCCAAGCCCATCAGGACGAACCATCACCTACCAGAATGGTGGGGGTGATGGACACTGTAGGTCTTCAATGAGCTGAATAGCTAGACTGGCCCAGTGTTTCTGTTTGCATCTGTGCTGATGGGGAAACGTGATGAGAGACCACTGAGTGTGAGGACTTTATAAATTCAGTTTTGTAATACTTACATTGGACTCCAGGAGGTTGGGACCCTGTGATCATAAGGGACCAGAAGTTATATTCTACAAGAGCAGCTTTGGTCTTCATGGGGCTTTTCTGGTTCTCTGCCAGGTGGAAGAGGCCCCAGAGCAATGCAGGAAAACCTGCTTGCTGCAGCTCAGCAGTGGAGCTTTTGTGTCTGCAAAGGGGCCTGGCAGAGAAGTGATCTAGAGGGACATCGCTGAGGAAAGCTGGCATAGTGGACATGCATCTTAGCTAGGTTTGGGGAGAACTGGTTTCGTGGAATCGAGGAAGAACACAAAGGGAAGGAGACCCAGAGGGCCAGGAGGCCCTCGTCTAACAGACGAGCATGAGGACAGAAGACGTAGCAAGAACAGGCAACTGTGAATGAAGCTAAAAGTGCGGCACAGGCCTCTGCCAGCAAGGGGGAGCTGAGGTGGGTGATAGATGCTCAGGGTTGGGAGCACCGCGTGGGGGGCCTGGGGATAACAGATGAGAGACACAAGGAAGGATACTTCTCTTTCTCCCTTTTTTCTACCAAGGAGACAGAAAAAAAATGACCCATGACACAGGTAGGGGATGTTCTGGAAAGTGCTGGGCTCCATGTCAGGAAGACCCAAGTTCCAATCTTGTCTCAGACACTGAATTACTGTGTGGCCCTTAACCCTTCCAAGCCTCAGCTTGTGACTCACAGGCTTGTGGTGAGGATGGAGTGATAGTGTGAAGTGCTTTGCAAACCTCAAAGTGCTGCATAAATTCCAGCTATTGTAGTTATTATTAACAATTGGGAGTTGAAGGTGAAGATGTGAGGAGATGGTGAGAGATGGCCTTGATGTCCTCAGGGGTCAGGCCTGGATGGCCTGGCACGTGCTGCTGCCCAGCTCTCAGGGGTCTCTGAAACATCACGGACAGCGGGAGAGGACTTGGGGAACCAAAGAGAGCTGATGGCGCCCCAATTACAAAAAGAGTTGAGAGTTTTCCAGTGACAGCCTGCTAAGGCTGACTTCAATTCAGGCAAAATTCTAGACTGAATTATTAGGCAGGTGGTAAGTCACCAGGACCCCTCATCAAGAGCAGGTCATGCCAGTTGAACCTCATTTCCATTTTTTAATGGGACAGTTATTATTAAACTATAGACTGAGTGAGCACTGTGGATATATAAAACACCTATGTTTGAGCAAAGAGTAGGACAGAGGCTCTCATGCTTTCCTTGTAGACTACCAGACAGTTTAATGGATTCAAAACCACTTGCTGAATGACCAGACCCAAAGAATAGTGATTAATGGGTTGATGTGGAACATGAGAGAAGTCTCTAGTGCAGTGCCCCAGGGATCTCTCCATCAGTGCTTCGGATGAAGGCATGCCTGGCATGCCTAGCTTGATTTTTGAATTTGTGGATGACAAAAATCTGGGAAGTGAGTAACACATTCTAGTCAGTTCCCTGCAAAAATCTTACCAACCTAGGATGAAAGTCTGAGTCAAATAAAATGGACTTTGATAGAGGTGAATAGAGGGGTCCTGCCCTTAGGCTTAAAAATTCAACAGCTCACATACATGATGGGAGAGCTGTGGCTAGTCTAGAGAACCTAGAGCCTCAGGTGGTCCAGTTCACATTCCTGTCGGCCAGAGGATGAGACAGTCGACAAGATAGTGCAGCAGACCCAGGCTGAGTGTCTGAACAAGGCAGGGAATAGCCCTTTTGAGAATTCCCTAGTCAGGTCACAGAGGATTTCATCTAGTTCTAGACAACACATTTTATTCAGGAAACACATTGACAATCTGGAAAGTTTCCGGTGGAAGGAACCCACAAGGCTGAGGGGATTGGAGATGATGTCACACCAGGAGTTGAAGATGAAGATGTGAGGAAAGTGGATTATTTAGTACTTTAAGGATTATTTCAAGGAACTGGTTTTATGCAGTCTGGTAAAGAGGAGATGGTGGGGGTGGGACAGGTAGAATGATTGCTTTGCCCACGTGTTTAAGGGCTGTCGTGTGGAAGGTTAAGATGTATTCTGCTTGGCACAGAGAATCAGGAGCTGGGGATGGCAGAGGCAGAGAGGGCAACAAGGAGGGCGATGAGTTCTCCATTTCTGGAGGCCTTGCAGCAGGGGTAGAGGGCCCCTTCTCAGAGGTGATTAGAGGGGCTTCCTGTTCAGTTTTGGGTCGGATTCAGGGGCCTCTGAGATCCCTCCTGATTCTATGTCTGTCAGTGACAGGGTTTTCCAGTATGAACCTGGGGTGATCAGTGACCCTGGGCCTACTTCTGCAGAGGGTCGACTGCTGTGAGCTTTTCCCCCTAGAGCCAGCCACGTGCTGGGGTGACAAGGGATTCACTTGACCCAAGTGCTACACGTTGGATGTCTGGGACATCTTGTTTGATCTTCACCAGATTTTAAACTACATAATAGGAGCAGTGTACAAGTGATGCATGTTTGCAATTTGTCTCCTGCTATCACACCAAGAAGTGACCATGGGCAACACACATCATGAAAAAGGGAGTGCTCACAGGTTTTCTCTCCATGTTTCACGTTTTGTTGTTCTGGTCTGAATTCCTGACAAGTGTATACCTTCCACATTTCTGCTCTCCTAGAGTCTTTATCCCCAAGACTGGGACTCTTCTTTCCTTCCTTTTTCCTTTTAATTGGACCTCCCTGTTGACTATGGCTTACTCATTTCTCCTCCCCAAAGATGCTGGGCTTCAGCCTCTGAACATTCAGAGAAGTGTTTCCATGTATGTGTGTGTGCGTGTGTGTGTGTGTATGCATGTGTGTGTGTGTGTGTGTGTGTGTGTGTGTGTGTATGTGTGTGTGTGTGTGTAACATGAAATCAACCTGGTAGGTTGGCTGGAGTCAGATTTTGATGGGCTATAAATGCCAAACACAGGAGTCCGTATTTCATCCTGGGGTGACATGGAATCACTGGACCCAAGTCCAAGAAGCCCCTTTGCATCATGCCAGACAAATGGTCCTCCTGCCCCTGCATGAAATCCTCCAGTCAGTGGACCTGAGAGCTCCACAGGTAGCCCCATTCTGCTTTGAGGTAATGATTTTTTAGGGTTTTTTCCTTTCATCAAGTCTAAATTTATCTTTGCAGCTTCTCCCCAAGCTCCTAGTTTGGCCTAAGCAGAATAAGTCTAATCCCTGTTCCATGGGACAGGCCCTCACATCCCTGTCTCCTCTCCCCCAGATCTTGTCTTCTCCTAGCTAAGTGCCCTACCTCCCCTCCCACCCCCTGTCCTTCACCCACCCCTTTTGTGGCGTGGTCCCTGGCTCCCCACTCTCCTGGCTACGTCCCAGTTCTTTCTCCTTTTACATCGCTCTGCATGCAAACTCTTTGCCTGTTGTACAGACAAGATAGTCTCAGTGGTTGTGTCTGGGGAGGCCATCTTCTGAACGACTAAATTAATGGGCTGATTAAGCTCAAATAAATAAAGCTAGAGAAGCCCTGAGCCTTAGGATAAATGACTATTCATCTCATGCTGCTCCATCCAGAAGGGTGCCCTCGGCTCAGGGGCCCAGAGCCACAAGGCACGGTATCCTTATTCACTCCTTCATTAGAAGAGGGTCACCTGCAGACTGGTTTTGGCACTGATCAGCTTCCTGTTCTTTGGTTTTGTTTGTCATGAAGGAGTGAGACGCCCACTGAGGGTAGACAGCAGACACTGTACATCTTTTCTTCAGTATTTTTGGGGTCTCCTTTAGCAAGTTGTTGACTTATTTTTCATGATTTTCTTGTATCACTCTCAGTTTTTCCTCTACTCCTCTCACTTGCTTCTCAAAATCCTTTTTGAGGTCTTCAATGTCCTGAGACCAATGCATATTTTTCTTGGAGGCTTTGGATGTAGGAGCTTTGACTGTGTTGTCTTCTTCTGGTTGTGTGTTTTGATCTTCTTTGTCACCAAAGTAAGGTTCTGTGGTCTGACTCTTTTTGCGCTGCTTGCTCATGATCCCAGCCAATTATTTAAGTTATGAACTCAAGAGTCTGCTTCCAATGTGGAGAATGTACTGTCCCAAGCTTTGGGGGTTTTGTGCAGCTGTTTTCAGAGATACTTCTAGGGACCTGTAAATTTTCAGTTCTTCTAGGGTGCTTTGATCAAGGGCAAGGTGTTTACTTCTTTCCTGGCTTGTGCTCTGGTCTGTGAGCGACCACAAGCACTCTTTTCTGTCTTGGAACTGTGAGGAGGGTTTTCTCTTCACCGCCACCATAAGCTCCACCATGCCAGCACTCCTTCTCGCCCCAGGACCGTCCCCCACAACTGTGACCCAGATCCAAGCATGGGCAAAGCAAGAGAATCCTGCCTCAGCACTGGCAAAGAGATCCCTGCAATTCTCCTCAGATCAGCCACTTGATTTCCCCCTTAGTCTGTGGGCTGGAAGCTCTGGAGGCAGCTGCCACCTTGGGGCTGCACTCAGGCACTGGGGCTGGGACCCCATGCTTCTCTCTCACCACAGACACACACTTTTCCTACTGACCTACTAAGTTGTCTTTGGCGTTGTGGGTTGAGAAATCTGGAAACTGCCACAGCTGCCCGTGATTCAGTCCTCTGAGGCCTGCTCCAGGTTCGCTGAGGCCTGTGCACCCACACCAAACTGTGTTCCTCTCCCAGCCCGGCATGATATACCTTTCCTATCAACCATCCAGGTTGTCTTGGGTGGGAAATTTGTTTCACTCTGTCTTTTTGTGGGTTCTGCTGCTTTAGAATTTGTTTAGAGCCATTTTTTTATAGGTTTTTGGAGGGGTTTGGGGGAGAGCTCAAGCAAGTCATTGCTTTTACTCTGCCATCTTGGCTCCACCCCTCCACTGTCCATCTTTTCCAAAAGAGTAGGTGCTTGGAGAGCGATCATTTTAGCTATAACAGATACTGTCAGCTTTCATTGTCATATCCATGTCATTCTCTTCCTTCTCCCAGCACTGTCTTCTCCCCTGCCTTGCCAACTTGAGGAATTTTTCTTCTTGGTGGTGATTTAAAGGAGAAGAAGTTTTGATGAGATAGTCCCTTCTCCACCTTTCCCACCCCTTGGTGTCTTGTCCCATATGTCTCTTTTTATTCTTTCCTGGTCTTTGCCTTGGCCACCTCTTCTCTTCCTCCTGCCTCACCATCCCCATCTCTGCTCACCCTCAAGTCACAGATCTGGGGGGACCTCAGAGGCCTTTCAGGCCAGCCTGTCTGTTGGCTAGGATTCCCCTATACCATTCCTAACCAGTGGTCATCTAGACTTGGCTTGGAGGCCTCCAGTGAGAGGGAGCTTCCTTCCTCCTCATTGCACTTTTTCTGATGGCTTCTTGGAGAGAAGATGCCTTTGTTCTCCTTGAGTCTGGCCTCAAAGTTCTCTCACTCTTATTTACCTACTTTCCTCTATTGCCTTATTCAGTTTAGGAAAATCCTCCTAAAGCTATCCTCAAATACTTCCATGACTATACCTTGAGCTATTTCTATTTGGGGTGTGAATATATGTGGGGTGCTCAATCAAGTAAGTCTCTCAAACGTTCTTGTCCTGTTGACCATGTTAACATAGGTGTGGTTAGACGGTGGCCCATCTGGGCTTGCTTCGCTCATGCTAAACATGTGCATGCTGCCATGACCCTGCAGGAGTTCCCATCATGGCATCTCCTTCCTTGTGTTTTTCTAAGACTCAGCGATTCATAGAATTTTTAAAATTGTGACTCATGGATTTAGAGCTGAAGCTCAGTGGTCATTTTGTCCAAGCCCCTCATTGTGTAAGTGAGGAAATTGAGGCCTAGATGTAGCGTGGCTTGCCTGAGATCACACATGTATGAGTGGCAAAGCCAAGATCCGAACCCAGGTCCTTCTGACTCTAAAAATCAAGGGACTTCAGTAATCTTCTTTTTCATTAATGAGTAGACCAGATTCTAGTTTTTCAGTCTAGAGTTTTTTACCAGGCCATTTTTTCCTTATATCAATGGCTTTTCCTTACATCAGCTTTCGATTGATCTAATCAGTGCACAATAAAGTCTTTTCTTCCCTCAATTTGACCCTTCTCTTGATGTAGCCCCAAATGTCAGGCAAACTCTTCTTTTTCCTTCTTTTCTCTTTCTTTCTTTCTTTCTTTCTTTCTTTCTTTCTTTCTTTCTTTCTTTCTTTCTTTCTTTCTTTCTTTCTCTCTCTGTCTCTCTCTGTCTCTCTCTTTCTTTCTCTCTCTCTCTCTCCTTCCTTCCCCCCTTCCTTCACTCCCTCCTTTCCTCCAACCCTTCTTTCCTTTCTTCCATCCATCGTAGGTCCATCAGGCACATGACCTTGCTCAGGGCTAATGACTTTAATGGACCCATTCCCTTCTGAGCTGCATAGCCCCTCAGCAGGACCCCACCTCTAGATGTGTCACAGGATGGGCACTGGAACAAAACAGGGACAAAAGGAGGAAACCCAGGCACCTTGCTGCCCTCCCCCCTCCCTGCCCCAAAGGGAAGACGCCTGGTGACTGTCCTCTTACTTGTGTTGCTGCAGCCCCCCACTTGCACCTGGGCATCATCGATTCTGAACACCCATCGCCCGGGGATACCCACATTTGTCGTCATCTCCACGTCGACGATGTCATCGGTGCGGGAGCCAGGGATGTTGAAGTAACGTTTCCCATCGCCAGCATTGAACCCTGCCTGGGAAGACAAGATCAGCAAGTCAGAATTCCAGGCCCAGAAGAGCATAGGCTGGCTTGCTGAAGTGAACCGGAGAGCTCGGCTGCCCGGCATCGTGGGAGAGTGTAGGACTTGGAGTCAGAAAGCCCTGGGTTGGAATCCTCTCCCATTCGAACTGTGTGACAACCTTTCCTCATCTGCAAAACAGAGGGATTGGACTCAGTGACCTCTAAGGTCTCTTCCAGCTCTAAATCTAGGCTCTTTTGAAGGCAGGGGCTTATTCCAATGACTCCCTCCACCATAAAAGAAAGACCAAAAAGAAATATAAGGAGACTCTGCTTAGCTCAGGGCTGGGCCGCTGGGCTCCCCATTGCCCAGAAGACCAAGCTTAGTCCTTCATCTGGTGGTGCCAGGCTTATCTCTCCCTGTTGCCTAGCTTGAACTCCCTCCTCTTGCCAGTGAGTCGGTAAATCCATCTTGCTCTCCTCTCCCTCTCCCCCAGCTGGCACGTCTGCATCTCTGTTCATGTTGGCCTGGATGTCCAGAATGCCTTCCCTATTCTTCTCACTCATCCAGTTTCAATTCATCCTTCAAAGTCCAGCTGAAAATCTGCCTCCTCCATGAAAGTTTCCATGGTAATAACAATAATAGCCAGCAATTACATAATGCTTTAAGGTTCACAAAAAGCTTTGTATATGTTATCTCATTTACTCCTTGCACCGACCCTGTGAGGTAGGTGCTAGAATTCTCCCCATTTTATCGACAAGGAAACTGAGGCTCAGAGAGGGTAATTGATTAGCCCTCTGTCCCAGTTTGCTGCCGTTCCACGGTTATTCTAGATCTCTCCCTTTGGGACTCCTAGAGCCCTTGTCTTCTCTATGGGACACTGGGTATTTCTCTGCTGCCTTGGATTGTAAGTTTCCTCATCAGGGGCACACGTTTCAGCTTTTCAGGCAGGGACAGTGGCTTACACGGTGTTTGGTCTATCTGTGCTTTCCTCGTGGTAAGGAACAGCTGATCCAGTCGGGCACGTGTGAAAGCACTTGGGAAAAGACAAATATTCTCCTAACCTAAGGCCTTGTTTTACAGGCCAATTCATCTGTGGGGTTGACCTGAAATGCTTCATTTTGACAGATAGCTGTGCTTGGAATGGTCTCTCTGACTCAGTGCCTGATACTGTTCATGGGATTATGGGTGACAGATCTGGAAGGAACCTCAGAAGCAGTCTGATCTAGTGCCCCCCTTTTACAGATGAGGAACCCAGACATAAGGAGACAAAGTGACTTGTTCCAAGGGCATAAATGGTGTCCTAGATCCAAGCTGGAAAGGCCCTCAGAAGCTGTCCATTCTGAGCCTCTCCTTCCAGATGAGGAAACCTTGGCCCAGAGAGGTAAGTGACTTGGCAGCAAGTGGCCATTTAGGTTGTGTCTGGCTCTAGGGCTGCCTGTGGGGAAGGAGGGAGAGGAGGTGCCCTGGCAGTGGCGCCCCTCCAGCGAAACCTTCTGTAACCACGTCTCATTCTGCGGGCATCCAGGCAGGGCCCGAGCCCGGCCTCTATGGACAAGCCTTGATATCAGCCCTTTTGGAGTCTGGAATCTCACCGGGCACTTGCTTCCGTGCACCTGTGATTTGTGATTTCCTGCTTGCTAGAGCCTCTCGAAATGGCCTGGGCAGAGTGCCAGGAACAGCTCAGCCGATGGCAAATGCTCACATCCTTCTGGGCACCGTTAAGAAAGAACAAAGGGATTAAATGAAAACAGGAGGGAGCATTTCTTGTCTGGGAGGTCGCTGCGCTTGAGTGTCGAGGCTGGGGCTGGGGGTGGGAGCCAGGCTGGCAGTGAGGTGATCAAGGAAGGAACTCAGTGGCACTGGCCAATGTAAAGAATGAACCCTGGCCAAACCGCGCGGCACCAAGGAGGGAGGGAGGGAGGGGGAAGAACCAGGCTCTTCACATGTCTCTGGAGAATCATGCTAACGGCATTAAACAAAAACGACAGAGAGGTTTCCGGGAATGTGCTTCCTGTGTGCCCGCTGATCCTACCTGTGCGGCAATGCCTCCTAGTCCCGCCAAGTCGCCCCCACTGCTGGCGTGCATGCCTGTGGTCCACAGGATGGACTCATAGTTGAATATGGTAAAAGACAGCTTGCCATCTGTGATGAGGACAATCTGGAAGGTGTTTACCTACAAGAAGAGAATCACAGATTGAATGTCAAAGCCACGAGGGTCCCTGGAACAGAGAGTGTGGAATGTCAGAGCAGGAAGTGCCCTTAGAACATAGAACACTCCGTGTCAGAGTTGGGAAGGACCTTAGGAACACAGAGCATGGAATGATAGAACTGGGAGGGACCTTAGAACATAAAATGCTGAATGTCAGAACTGGAAGGTCCTTTAGGACAAAGAACAGGGAATGTTAGAGTTGGGACCAATACTAGAATGTAGATCCTAGAAAGTTAGAGCTGGAATGTACCTCAGAAGTCATCTAGTGCAGACTCCCTTTATAGATGAGGAAACCGAGGTCTGCATGGAGTAAGTGCCTTTTCCAAGATCATGCAGCCAGGCCATGGTGAATCCAGCTGACTTACACATGAGGAAACTGATGGCCAGAAAGTTTCTTACTTACCCAGTGTGATGTAGGAAATAAGCATCAGAGACAGGATTTGAACCTGTACTCTCTGACTCAAGCAAAACACTAGCCTAACACCAGGAAAGGAAAAGGGGAACAGTAGGGGTGGAGGGGAAGAATGAGGAGGAACTGGGGAGAGGACAGGGGAAAGATGGGGGAGTGGGGCATGAGGAGAGGGGAGGACAAGGGGAGGATGTGGGGGACATTGCAATTCCTTAATGATGATTTGGTTGGTGGTGAAACTGGACTATGCCATTATCCTACAGGGGGTCAGTGGGGAGGGCTTGCAGATCCATGTCTCCTTGTAATGGAAAATGCAGTAGTGACTGTGATGGCTTGTCATAGGTACCAGATTTCTGCCTATGCAGATGTCCCATTCATTTGAACCATTTTAGAGTCCAGGAAGGAAATAGAATTGGGCCAGGAGAGATAGAGGGGGGCCGAGTGTGTTGGAGAGGTGTGCTGCCATGGTGGAAACTCTAGGTGGTTTTCACATATCTAGCTCAGTGTCTCTGGAGAGAGAGGCTTATGAGATTCTCATGTAGCAGATATGGAGAAAGTATGTGTCAAAAGGTAAAATTCTGGTTACAATCAGCAAATCAGTTGATGTTGCCTCTCTCCCTAGATGCTGGTACACCTTCACTAAGAGGTGTTAGCTCATCAAAACACTAGTTATCCCAGAAAAGTGAAAGATTGTGCATGTGCTTTTTCCCCTCAGGGTAATTTTAAAAATGTGTTTGATGTCTAACTAGCTCCTCATCTGAATGACCGAGTTAATGAACAAACCACTAGGTTAAGAAGAGAAGTGCAAACATAGATAGCATCTATTGATCTGAAGATCCTTAAATATATCACGGTAATATTTCATTTATTTGACATCATTAGGGAATCACGTGTTCTATGCATGAATTTTCTAGATAACCAAAAACATTTTTGATAGAATTCTTTCTAAAATACATCACATACCACATGCCTTCTTAAACAGAGCATCCTGAACACAATTTAGCCTTTTCTGAAAGACTCAGGGACCTCATAATGGACATCCGTCCCTGCCAAGCTCTTGGGGCTTGGGTGGGACTACAGTTGATGAGGCTCTTTGCCCTGCCCCAGTGGCGGGAGTGGATGCTACCTTCTGCAAGTGGCCCCAGCTTGTGCTTTTATTGTTCTTGGATCCACTTTGTATAGTTTTTATATCTCTTCACTGTCAAACTGTCCCTGCTGGCCATTGTTGGTGCATGTGTGCCAGCTTCTAGCAAGCCTCCTTGTGCCTTCAAACATTCTCCTTCGGGGTATTATTTACTGGGAAGAACAGTGTCTAAAAGTCGCTGATTTGAGTCAACAGGTTCTGAACAAGGGCCTCTCCTATCATCTCGAGTGAAATTCATGAGCCTTCCTTAGAGGTGTCTTGTCCAGTGGGTGCTTGAACAAGAATCATCTCTGCAGCCGCCCTCGTGGGGGCTCACTGCTCTTCAGTTTGAAGACTGTAGTGAGGGAGAACCTTCTCCCCTCTGAGGCAGCCCGTCTCCAGGGAGTTGTTCTGCCACCAGACCCGAACTAGTCTCTTGGTGCCATCCCCTTCCATTGACCCCTAGCTCTGCTCTCCTTCTACATGATGGCCCTCCTTAGGCTTGAAGACAGCTCTCCTGTGCCTCTTCAGAAGCACCCACTACCTACCCCCTTACTTCTAGTTTTGTTTCTGGGGACCCAACAGGAGAGAGAAATAGGACCCCTTGAGAAATGGAGGGACTTTGGCCACGGACGTTCTCAAGCCCCCAAGCTGAAGGAAATGAGACAGTCTGGCTTCCATGCCCCGCAGGATGGGACTTACATTTGGGCAGATGGGCTCAGGGTATTTAAGACTGTGTGTGTCTTCCCCAGAAAATTATTCTAATCTAGTTTGTGAGGACAGTTTTTAGTTGCCCAGAGAGGTTGAGCTCCTGCTAGGTTATCCTCTAGAACTGGTACCAAGATGGTCCTTTGCCTGGTCTGCTGGGCTAGGAGGGAGAAGAATGCTACAAAGAGATCTTTTAATCAGAGAGGATCCCCGCAGGAGCAGATCCATAGTGGTTCTGGGTGTGGCCACATTAGGCTCTAGTGGACGCTGTAGAACTTGCAAGCAGAGAATAGGTAAGGGGAGAGAGGGCTGCATGAGGTCCACAGTCAGGGATTACATTTGGTTAGAAAACCTGGTTAGACTCCTTTCCCTCCATCCTTCACCAATGGCTGAACTTACCGGAGAAAATGAGCTCCCTCCGAAAAAGGTCACCTTGTGCCAGGTGGCCACAAAAACCCACTTTGCTGAGAAGTCGGGGTGCTCTGGGAAGTATCTCCAGATGTCCTCCGTGGCTCTCTGCAGGATGGCCTGCTCCTTACTCTCCTGGTAATAGACCTCTCCAGCCCGGCGGTTATCGACATCAGCCCAGAAAGCAGCTACCACACAGCGGTCTTTAGAGATAGGGAAGGCTACCGGTGTGAATTGGGAGACTTCCTTTAGGAAGGAGATGATTCCGTTGTTGTTCACCTGTTTGAGAAGAGAAAACGAAAGCAAAAGGTTTGACCAGGCATGGAAGCTTGTCATGGAGACTACAACCAGCGAATGCTCTTCCATCCTAGAAACTGAGTCTCAGAGGTGGAAAGGATCTTAGCGATCAGTGAACCCAGTCATTCACCAATATGGGTGGCTGTCGACTTTAGAAAGTCACTTCTGGAGATGCAGAGAGGACTTCACAAGGCAGCTAGAAAGGGTTTACCCAACATCATCTGGGCCCTCTGCAGGGACACAATACTTGTACTGCTCCCTAATCAGCCTTCTGTGCCACTCACCATAGTGTCTCCTCAAACCTCCCCCACCATCGCAGTTCTGAACTTTGTCTCATACTTGATTGCAGAAATTGAAGCTGCTGACAACAAGCTCCTTTTTTCCTCATCTACCACCCTCCTGACATCCTTCTCCCTTCTCTCCTCTTTTGCCCCAGGTTCTGATGTCTTTCTTATTGCCAGGGTAAATCCCTATACAAGCACACTCGATCCTGTACCCTCCTTTTTCTCCAGCAGATCACCCCTGCTATCCTCTTTTCTTTCTGTTTTTCCTTTTCCTGTTCCTCTCTCTCTTTCTCAGTCTTTCCCTGTCGCTGTGGGTACGTCTCTCTGTCTCTCTCTCTCTTTTCAGTCTCTCCCTATCTGCTGAGTCTATAAACACAGCCAAATCTCCCCTATTGTTAAAAAAATCCTTACTAGGTCCTATCATTTTAGGTAACTGTCATGTTAGACCTCTCCTCATCTTTTTAGCCACCCTCCTTGAAAAAGCCATTTATACTAAGCACCCCCACTTTCCCTTGCTCTCCTCTGAAGTCCCCAGCCTCATCATTGAACTAAAACTGCTCTTCCAAAGTTACTAGTGATTTCTTAATGGCCAAATCTAACGGGCTTCCCTGATCTTCATCCTTCTAGACCTCTCTGCAGCATCTGACTGTTGGCTACCCCTCCTGGGTCCCCTCTCCTCTTTTCTTTCATGACAGAACTTTCCCTTCTCCTACTTGGGTGACTGCCTGTTCCTTTTCAGCTTCTGCTGGTTTGTTGTCCACATCAGACTCACTGGGGCTGTGCTCCAGGAGTTCTCCAGGCTGTCTGCTCTCTGATCTCCCCAGCTGCCATTGGTTTCATGATCATCTCTGTGCACATGACTGTTCCGATATCACAACCTGCCAATAGGCAGACATACCAAGCCGGAGGTTCTGGAAGCATCTTACACGTGTCTAAACCAGAACTCATTGTCTCCCAAGCCCTCACTCCTTCCAACTTCCCACTGACTGTTGGGGGCACCACCATCCTTTAGTCACCAAGGTGGCCTCCTCATTCCTCCTCCACCTGAATACCCAAGCCATACTCACTCTACAGCTTCTCTTGCATCTTGACCCCTTCTCTCTGCTCACACAACAATCTCTCTAGTTCAGGCCCTCATCATCTCTAGTCTGTCCTATGGTAACAACCTCCTGTTTAGATTCCCAGCGTCAACTCTTTCCTGATTCTGATCCATCCCCCATTAAGCTGCCAAGTGATCTTCCTAAAGCACAGGTCTGACCATGTCACCTCCCTCCCCCCCTTGATGGACTTTAGTGACTCTTCTGTCTCCAGGATCAAATATAATCTACCCTCTTTGGCATGTAGGTCCTTTCACAGTGGGTGACTTTGTGCCAGGAAGCGTGCTGAGTGCTGAGCATACAAAGAAAGGCAAAACGATGGTTCCTGACCTCAGAGAGAGCAAGTTTTCATGGAGGAAACAACATGGCAACAGTTACATACATACAAGATACATATAGTGTAAATGGGAGGAGGTCTCAGAGGGGAGATAACAGAGCGGGGAAGGGACTGGGAAAGATGTTCTGTGGTATTTGAGCCGTCCTGAAGGAAGCCAGGAGCATTCCAGGCCCTGGGTGTGCGCACAGCTGGGAGCTAGAGGCTCAGGAGGGAGGGCATCAGCAAGAGGGCTGCCAGATCCTGGAGGACATGGAGGATGGTAAAATGTACAAAGACTGGAAAGGGAAGAAGGGGCTTTAAAGGCCAGACAAAGATTTTTATATTTGGCCCTAGAGCTTATTTTGTAGGGGGTGGCTGGTCAGACTTGCACTTTAGGAAAACCAGTTTGACAGAAATTTGGAGAATAGAAGAGATTGGAGTCCTAAAGACCAATGAGCAGGTTATTAAACTAGTCCAGGCAATAAGTAATGAGGGTCTTAACTAGGTTGGTGGCCAGGTAAGTGGTGGGGTGGGCTGGGGTGGTAGATTGAAGAGAGAGTCTGGAGTCTTCATTAGGACTTAGCAACTGGTTGCATGCCCGGGGTGGGAGAGAAGGAAGAGCCAAGGATCATTCTGAGATTGTACACTCATGGAAAGAGGGAAGGTTGTGAGAGGTGAAGTAGTCTGGAATGCCAATCGGATGTCCAGTGGGGGTGTCTTTATCCCTTCAGCCCCCTCCCCTTCCCCTGCCACAGTCTCCAGGCTTCTTCCAGGAAAAGGTTGCCTGGAGATGTGCCCAAACGATGGGCGAGACAGGAAGGTGCCAAGATCGGGACACAATCCCCATCCTTCATAAGCTCTCCAATGTTCCCTTCCTCCTCCCCTCATCACATACTGTGGGTTTCCTTCATTGATGCACAGATGGGAAGCCAAAAGGTTACGAGCAGAACCTGCCCTGGTACCTGTGCCGAGTCCCTTTAGATTCATACTGAAGGGCTCTTCCCTTCTCATAAATATTTAAGAGTTTTTTCTTCCTGGCCCTTGAAGTGTGGGCATTCTTTCTTAGGTGTGGGAGGAGGCCCTTTCCTTCCCACTCTCCCAGCATCTCTGCTCTTCTGCCCTCGCCTCATCCTCATCCCCATCCCCATCCCCATCCTCAGAAGCTGGTCCCCTCCTGGTCTGTTTCTGTGTCAATGTCTGCCTCATTTTTGTAGGGAACGAGGTGTGGGCTGGAGAATGGTAGCCTGGGGGTCTAGGGAGGAAGGTGGAACAGACCAGGCCTGTTCTCCTGCCAGAGATGGGCCAAAGGAAAGAGAAACAGCTGAGAAGGCAAGAGCCTAGCTGCAAAGGCTTAAGCAAACAGTGCCCAGCTCACTGAGGCCAGCTCCCTCCTCACCTGGGAGGAGACATAGGCGTGCCATTGGAAGCCTGGTCTTACTTCCATGCTTTAAATAGCCAAGTTTTTATACTGAAGGGACAAAAGTTATTTTTTTCCCCTTTCAGTCAAATGTGATGCTTGGGGCGTGCCCTAGGTCTGGGGGTCCCTGGACTGGATTGTGGTATCTCCAGGGTGAGAGGGGGTCCCTGGGGTTGGGAATGGTGGGGTCAGATGCCCTAAGCTTGTTCCAAAGACCTTCTCTTGTCTAGTAATGTCCCTCTCTCAAAGCAACAGTATCTCAGAATCTCAAAGCTGGCGACAGCCTTGCAAGCCATAGGGACACTCCACTCCACCCTGAAGCGGTCAGCCAGCCTTTACTGCAGGACCTCTGCTAAGCAAAAACTAGCCACTGCCTCTCATTCTACTTCAGGACTGCTATAATGATTAGGATGCTTTTCTTTCTATGTAGCCTTATTTTGCCTCTTGCCAACTTTTGACAGCTAGGGGGTGCCACAGGGCATAGAACTCAGGACGTGGAGTCAGGAGACCTGAATTCAAATTTGACCTTGGATGCTAGCTGTCTGACCCTGGGCAGGTCACTTCATTGCTCTCTGCCTCAGTTTCCTCACCTGTAAAATGGGGGATAATAACAGCTCTGGCTATCAAGAGGGTGATATAAGCTAATATGGGCAAAGGGTCTGTAAACCCCTTGTTATTACTGTTAGACCATTTGAGTTAACATGTCTCAGTGCCTCTCCGATGTGATCCACACCTGGAGAAGCATCTCTAACATGTATCCAAGCTCTCATTCGATCTTCCCTCCCCCTCCCAAGGCATTCCATTCCCTTTTTGGAAGCTCCATCGGGAGTCCAGCTCACCAGGGCGAGTGCCCCTTCCCCTCACAGTCCTTCCAGTTGCTTTCAAATCAACTCAGTTTAATCCGGTTCACTTGAACCACATGCTCTGTGCTCCATGCTGTAGGAGATATGAGATGACTAAGCCATGGCTCCTGACCTCAAGTATACAGTTGGCAGTGAGATGACAGGTAAAGAGGAGGCATTTATTAGGCACCTGCTGACTGCCCAGCAGTAGGGAGACAAACAGTGGTGAACATGAAACAGTCTCTGTCCTCAAGGACTTTCTATTCCATTGGGAAAGGTGCATGATGAACAGGAAAACAAGGCGGAATGGACATGCCGTGGGAGATTAGGGGATGGCCCTTCCTCCCTCTGGGGGCCGGGGCAGGCTCTTCCTGACCCTTTGACTGTCTCTTGTCTCCTATCCCTACACCCCATTCAGAGGGACATGAGCTACCTGTTTTCTTAGGTGTTAGGTGGGCCCAGCCACTCTGCTTTGTGTAACCTTGGAGCCCAGCAGAAGAGAGGGAGAATCAAAAGACCTGGGTTTGAATCCCGCTCCATTGTGTATGGCCTGTGAGACCCTGGAAAAGTCTCTTCCTCCATCTGGGTCTTAGTTTCCTCATCTGTAAAATGAGGGGGTGGCCCAGAGGAGCTCTAGGGTCCTATGATGGCCCCAAAGCTGGACGAGGCTGAAGTCGGTCCTCAGCATGACCATTACGACCCTCATGGGTCGTCGGCAGGGACCTGTCCATCTGAGTTGAACCTGGGAGGCTGACCTGTCCCCGTGGCCCCCATCTGCAGGCTACTTTCTGATCAGTCCCTCCTGGATGGTTCGCTGCCTTAGACTGAGCCTGGTCTGCTCGGATCTTGTGCTCCCTTGCCTGTCTGCTTCTCTGCACCAAAGGCTGGGAAACTCTGTTCCTGTTCTGTTCTTCTCGGCTGCTTGATACTCATATCCCTCCTTTATGTGCTGATTGAGAGCCACATGGAGACCCCATTAGTAAATCTTGCTCCCTGGTGCACCTCCACTCCTGGAGGCAGTCACAA